AGTATCGCTACGGGCAGGGTCAAAACAAATTCCAATGGCCAATATTTTGACAATCAACATGCTGACACACGAAAGCCCACTGCACGCGAGTTGTGACCCACCGCCGAAATTCAAGCTAGAAACATACCCAGGAGAACATGTATTCTTGTAAAATCTTAAATTTGTGGAAGTATTGACATTAATTTTACCTTCTTTATTTAAGAAATGAATGGAGGTAGAAAATCTAGTTATTGGCTCTAATAATGACTAGAAAAACAAATTAAATTACTAGGATACGCTATACGGAGGAGTGCTCAAGTTCTTGGAAGTTGGAATGAACACAACATGTGAAGTATATTATTACCTTGTTTGGAAATATCGTTAGTTTTTTAGATAAAATTTAAATGGTATAGATTAATTTTGAAAACGCTTCTGTTATATAGCATTTTTCGAAACGCTAACTCTAGCCACTAATGCTGTTGCCAAACGGGTCCCATATCTATGTTATTCCGTGTGCCTTTACAGAAATGGTATCCCATATCAAAGACACTTGCTGAGAAAGCCGCGTGGGAGTTTGCGAAGCAGAACGGACTAGATGTGGTAGCAATCAACCCGGCTACATGTCTCGGCGAACTCTTGCAGCCCGGATTGAATGCGAGTTGTGCTGTTTTGGCACAGCTTCTCAAGGGGTCAGAAGAGACACATGAGTACCACTGGCTGGGGGCTGTTCATGTCAAAGATGTGGCCAAGGCTCAAATCTTGCTGTTTGAGACCCCCAATGCTTCGGGGAGGTACTTGTGTACCAATGGCATTTATCAGTTTGGTGATTTTGCTGAGAGGGTTTCAAGACGCTTTCCTGAGTTCCCTGTCCACAGGTATGTAGTATTTGTTTCAATTTATTCTTATTATTTACTCCGTATTACTTATTCTTATTGGAATTTTCATTCCCCTATGGAGCCAAAGATTCACTATTTTTTGGCTTCGGGGTATGATGGAATAAAGCAAATTGACACTTAAAACTCTCTCCGCTTCTTGCAATTGTGAAGTAGCAGTTAGTCAATGCAACTTTCGACGTTCATCATGGGTCATCTGGAAACAACCGCTCTATGTTTTAAACATAGGGGTCACGTACATCCGACCCCCCTTACCCCGCAATGGGTGGGAGCCATTGAGGCACTGGGATAATGTTGTTGTTACTTATTCTTATTGGAATCAAACCTGACTAGATCAGAAATAATTTTAAAAATAACTAAAATCAGACCAGACATAGAAAACAATCTCAGAGTCTCACATTGAACATCTAGGCTAGAAAAAGGCTGACATATAAGAATATGAGTTACTTCTCTCCTCATCAGTTGGTTTTGGGTTGAAATCTCATAATTTTACACTATCCTGACAAAATATCAGTAAGCTGATTGTGAAACACGGTAACAGGGCTGCATAGCATAATCATTGATAGGTTAGGTTTTCGGGGGGAGACGATTTGATACGAAGGAACCGAAGCATGGGTTGAAACTATATTGGTTTTTTGAGATTGTAACAATGTAGAATCACTATAGGTTTTCGGGGGAAACTCAACCCAATTTGGTGGCTTGTGAAGATGCTGCAAGAAGACTGATATCTTTAGGGATGGTTTTTACACCGGTCGAAGCTGCTGTCCGGGACACGGTGGAAAGCCTTAGAGCAAATGGTCATCTGCCACCGCGAAAATCGCCATCTTAGGAGCCTCTTTTCGTGCCCCAAGTTCGCCCATGTATGTACTGTGAATGTATTTAACCAACCCACTCCAAAGAAGAATGCATAACTTACCTTTATATAGAGGAGCTAGTACGAAGTTGTTTATCTATTCAAAATGCATTACTTGAATAATGTATGTATGCTTGGTTTTCCACATTTACGAGAAAATATGGGGCACTATTAGCACATTTAGGCCATGTTTGGTGAGCTAAAAAGCTATGGGCTTCAAAATCTCTGATGTCAAGTTTCCAAACATGAAAGTATTAGAATTGATTTCATTTCGAACCTCTCCAAACAACATTTCAGATTTTTAAATCTATATCATTTCTTTCAAATTTTAGAATTCGTATCATATCATTTCTTAAAAACTCGCAAAGTAACCCTTAGTGTTATTATTATGACTTTATTGAATAAACTCGTCAGACCCAACAAAAAATCGTGACGTATGTTGGTATCACTTTATTTAGAAGTTTACGATGATGACAACGTAGGTCATAAGATGGTAAGTTTCAAATAAAGGTCGAGGTTGGAGAAAAAAGCAATATCATTTGAAGCGATGTTTATTTAAATAGTATTTTCTTATAAAGGTTGACCGATTATATTTTCAATTCAATTTATATGATTGTAAGTGTAAGATTTAAAAATAAAATTTGTACGGTAAAAGACTACATAAAAAGTTCTAGAAAACAAAGTAAGTTAAATTTGACTGTAAAAATAATGTCTCGGAATATATATGAGAGAGTATTAATATATTAATTGTATGTGCCACATAACTTGATCATTTTTTGGATTGTTAATTACCCTGATTATATAATCTGACCTTTAACACCTTGTATATAATAGTATGAACTCCATGTTTTGCATTGGTTCACATGCATGCATTCTACTATGTTTTTAGAAATTCCGTAAAAATAAATTATTTATTTTAATTTTCTAAGGATGGTATATTATCTGTTATATAAATACTTTAACTATAAAAGTTCTATTTTTAATATTGATTTACATGTTATAAATTTTTTTATAAATTTTTGTTTTTGAAAAGTAGTAAAAGAGAAAAATGATTAATTTGGAGTTGTTTTTTAAAAATCATTTAAATCCTTTTTTTAATTTAAAAATTTTTAAAATTGTTATTTATACTATGTACTCCTTATACGTTTATTTGTTCAACTAGAAAAAAATAAAAAAAAATCAGAAACCAATCTCCACACCGAATCAAGTGAGAAAGACTAAAATAAGACTAAAAAATGAAGAAAGAATCGAAATAAATTTCAACCTTTTTATTCCAAAAAAAACCATAACTATTTTTTTAAAATTGTGCTGGTCCATTTAAAATTCTGCCTTGATCCATTTCCCGATAGAGTGCCATATTGTAACTATATAATGTCTGTCGAAACAGTAATGTCAAGGATGATAATGTATATGGACAAAAATGACAATAAACCATACTCCCTCTCTCTCATGTTTGTTCTCGTTTGTTTCAATTTATGATTTTGACTAGAGTAGTTTTCAATACAATTTATTTGAGAACTAGAGCGGAATTAAATAATAAAATTTATATATTAAAAACTACATAAAAAATTCTACAAAAACAAGATGTGACTTGACTATATTATTTTATCAAATAAGTAATTAAAATGAAGAAATAAAGTGAATTGTAAACAAACAATTTACATTGAGATGGGGGAATATCAAACATGCTATGCTCTTTCCTAAGCTATAGTCTTTTGAAATTAAGTTGGTGGCTGCTAGAGAAATGGACTCACCCCGAATTACAGTTGTAAACGAATCGAATCGATGTGGATATCGTAATATTTGAATTTGTATTTGATTAATTTTTTCGAATATAAATCCGAATACAAATATGAAATGAATTAAAAATAACATTTGTATTTGTCTTTGATTAAAATTTGAATAGTTAACGAATTCTAAATGAATATTTGAATAATCATACTTCGTAATTTATATGCCGATTTTGAATAATTTAACTTACAGTATTTCTTATATCACATCTAAAAAAATTAATACATTTGTGTCTTACACAAATTATATTTTATAAATTATAACTATAAAAATCACATGCTTTAAATTGTTGTATTATGTTAATATGATGAAATTTTAGTAATTTAAATGCAATTTATAATATACTAGATTGCTTGATTATCGATTTTGAAAACATGGTCTGTGTATATAAATATATTCGAATATCATCCGAGTCGAATACGTCTCTATTTGTATTTGCATTTGTTTAATATTCCAATCTAAACTAATATTTGAACTTGAATTTGTATTTGAATATCGCGAATTCGAATCATCATATTCGAATACGAATCACGAATCAATTTTAAAATATTTGATTTGTTTACATCGCTGCCCAAATATGCTCATGGACTCCATTTTGAGAAAATATTTGTTTAGAATTAGGGGGTGTTTGGTTCGTGCTGAGGAAAGGGAAAGGAAACAGGGGGAATGATTATCCCGAATTACCCTGTTTGTTTGGTCCAGTATATGAAAGGAAATCAAATTCCCTTTGTTCGTGTCGGAGGGGGAGGAAACGAAGCTAGAATGGGGAGGAACATACCTGGTCTCGGTGCGGATGGAGTCACGGTGTGGCGGTGAGACGCGGTGTGGCGGCGACCGGAAGAAACGGACATGCAGCGCGGGAAGAAATGGAAGAAAGTGATGAAGGGCAGGCGCTGATTGGGGAAGAAATGGACGGGGAAGAAGGGGTAGGGAAGGGGAAGAAGGGTTAGGAAAAAACGAAAGTGAGAGGAATGGGAAACTCCGATAGGGAGCAGGGAATCGAAAGACGCGAAACAGGGTAATCCAAAACCAAAAAATGGAGAAACGGAATATTTTTTTTTAAACAAACGACAACAAACGGAATTGGGGAATTCCATTCATTTTCTGTTTCCCTTACCCCGAACCAATTGCCCCCTTATTAGTTTGAAAAAATATTTAATTATAAGAGCATTTCCAGATCATACTTTACGTATAGATGGTAGAAAATATCGAAATACCTTCTATTTGACTGATATTTACTTTGTAATGGATATTTTCAAAAGAGGACTATTTAGAGTATATATCTCAATTGCAAAAAATCACGTTAGTAATTATTACTTATTGAGGACTAATTTGAAAAAACACCTAAATACCTTATTAGGAAGAATCGTTTTGAGAATTTACTCAAACTAAAGTTATACTCCATATTTTACTTTTGTGCTTATAATTTTTGTTTTTTCAATCTAGGCTAAGATGAATATAGGCTAAAATTTAAGGGGCGAAAAACAGAATTAATATTTTCCCGAGGACTCAAATTTCCCTCCCACCCCAGCCCAATCATATACTGCAAGGAGTGCCTGCATCCAGCAAAGCCCTGCCCCAAAACCCCAATTTTTTCTTCTCCTCTGCTCCGACACGGCGGAACCCGCCGGTGATTTGTATACTTGGTAGGGACCATGGCGAGCAGGTCGCATTTGGTTGGAATGGAAGTTCCCATTATCGGAAGTGACTCTATCAAATGGATTCAGCTGTCTGTTCCTTCGTCAACATCTATTCCGGAAGCTACAGCTGCCGTACTGCCGGACCACCTCAGCAGAGACACCGCCTCCTACACGGTGTTTGGTGACCCTCCTACATACATAATTTGGTATGTCTTTGTTGGTCATATACATTTGCATAGACTCACATGTATCTATGATAGAGCTGAATATTCTAAGCATATAAAGAAATTGTAATGGAAAGGGATTTTTTTGATATCATTTTGAGTTTGGGAGGACTGACAACGGAACTTTTTGCTTTGCAGCTTTCTGATTTTATGATATGATTGATGAATTATACTCCCTCCGTCTCAAATGAATTGTCCCATTGCAAATTGTGATGTTTGATTGAATTCATTTTAGTTCAATTTATGTAAATAATGATACAAAATTTCAAAATACATATTAAAAAACTACATTAAAATCTTCATAAAACAAGAAGCGATATGATTGTGTTATTGTAACAAATGATTAACAAAAATAAGTAAAAAAATAAACAAACTTTGACCTTAAATAATGAGGTGGGACGGTTAATTCGGGATGGAGGGAGTACTATTATGCAATAATGATGATGTGATGCAACGTTTCCTTCATCTTTGTTGGTTTTGGGGTTTTCTTCTTCTCAATTTTAATTCTTTTAAACTAGCAGGTAATTGGGATTAAGGTGTTGTTGTTTTGTTGGTCTATTTTAGATTTTTGAATTCTAAGGCGGATGCTTGGCTGTTGGTCAGTGTTACAGTGCACATATTATTTCTATATCTTTTCTCTCTCTTAAAGAGGTTGGTTTTGATGCACTACAGACCTTCTGCCCTGGATTAAGTTTCTTATTGGAGTAAATCATATTAGGTTTATCCATTCATCTCACCTCTGGCATTTATTTAATTGTACTCCATGATTCATTTTATGTTATCTGGCTTCCTATTTGAAATAAATTTACACTTTCTCGTGCTCTCAAGATTGTGTCAGATTTTGTTTAATATATACTTACTCTCTGGGATTATTAACATGAAAATAGTTGCATCTAGGAGTAAACTAGGTGTTGGTCACCTAAGTAAGCGTATATGTGTTTTGTGGTTAGTATGTCAAATTACATGAATCCTTAAAATGGTATATATTCTAAACTGTGTGTTTATTAACCTGCATGTGTCCTAGCCTTTCCCCGCTATTATTTTTTCCAAGCCAAATATTGTTGACATTTACTACTCGTATTGCAGGAGAATTGACAGGAGCCAAGAAAATGTTGTAGAGATAATGCAGCTAAATGACAATAAAGAGTTTCTAAAGATTGGACTGCAGATTGTATTTCCAGATGCACTTTTTCCATCTACCCTGTTATGCAAAAATGAGGTTTATCCTATATTTAGCTAGTTCTAACACTCTCAGTGCTTTTTCCGCAAATATCAATGGTTAGGTCTAATGAATTAATTTATCTTCTTTTTTCACAGACTAATTTTCTGTCACGGGGACACTTCACACTTTATGCTATGACAATCTCAGGGATTGCTTTCCTCATTAAGCTTAAAGATATTTCTACCTATGTACCTAGTTCTGTTTTGTCATCGAATGAAGTCCTTGAGTGCAATACTCAAATGCATTGTCATCATGGAGCAATAACAATGGCCACATCAACATCAGGGTGTATAGTAGTTGGTCGAAATGATGGGTCTGTTTGCTGTTTCCAACTTGGCACAATTGAACCTAGTGCTCCAGGTTAAACATAGTTGTCACTCTGTTACTATTTTGTGTTCTATGAGTAACATATGCTTCTTGCTAGCATTAAGCAGTATACACAAGTTTGGTCCTGATATTGTCTTCATAGTAATGCTACTTTAAAAATTTTGTCTTTTATACCTTTTTCCTGTGGTTCTGGCTAGTTCTGCCGCTCGCCTGCTCCGTTCATTTTTTTGGGGGGTTATACTTTTTTCCAAGTTTCAAGTAATAGACACATTGCTATTGCTGAGTTCGTATGCAAAGGTTCTCAACACTGAATTTTGAGTAACACATTGCATGTTTGCATTGAGAATTAAGTTTCAACAACACATTGCTATTTTGAGTTTCTCTTAATTATGTTGTATCAACCCCCTTTTCCTCTGATAGGTTTCGTATTTGAGCTTCGTGATGATGTTGGCTTTGGTCGTTTATGGGGCATTATGTCGAGGTAATTCATAATTGTAGTTCTATAATGTTTGATATGATAGGTGGACAAGGGTTGGGCTATGTGCCCAAACTTGAAAGCTCAACTAATATTTAGAGGGATGGACAAAAAAGGTTTGAAGTTCGGATTCAAGATAAAAAGAAGGGTCTGTTTAATAAACAAGCTTGGCTTTAGGTTCAAAGGGCAAAGCCCGAGTCTAAAATAATGTTTTAGAATATTAATATGTATGTGCAAATGAGGGGGGGGGGAGGACAGTTACTATAACATTCTTAGTTTGGTATATCATTAAATAAACTTGGTCCAACTTAATGTGTTATATTAAACTTTTTGAAGTTATTTGATGTTGAAGTGTGTGTGTGTGTGTATAATATGTTTAGTTTTTTATTTTATTCAACACACACTTGAATATATGAATATTTTCTGGGTAACTTTTTTCGTTCACTCACACACCTTTTATTTTTGAATTTAATTTCAATGCTCTTCCCCAGTTCGTATAGCAAACATTCCTTAAGGAAATTCACAGTGCATTGGAAAAATCATCAACAAAAAGAACAAACAAAACACCAATCATAGAAGTCACTCGACATAAAACTGTGGCGGTTAGGTGCTTGTGGTGACTCGACATAAAACTCAACCTATAAGGACCTATTCTATTCAACTTAATCTTATCCCTTATTACTTATTCTTATTGAACTCTGAACAGATCAGAAAGATTCATATCACACCAGATCATACCAGAAACATATACAACTCTGATCAGCCTCATGTGATTAGATCAGCCCTTAATAAATTCAAATCAGAACTAAACAGGTTAGACAAAGAAAACAGCCTCTCTAAGTGACTACTGATTCTGCTGGTGGCACGTATAGGTGCTGCGGTGGTTAACAGCCGTGAATTTAAAACTCTGAGCCCTTTGAGTTTGATGGAGAGTTCCTATTTTGATGGTGGTGGTACTTTGTCGATATAAACGCCGGAAGAGATTAGACGTATCAGAAATTGTGGACAGAAAAATCAATGAAAATGGCCACGAAAAAGGCTATGCTGCCATGTGACAAGAGGGATTTAAAGAGATTAATCTTTTGATGATTATAATATGAATGCAAAAATATCATAGCAATCATACTTATATAGGATAATCAAGGGTTTAAGGTTGCTAATCTATTTTCAGCTAGGTTAAGCCCATTTTGGCAGGGTATCCCACTAATTATTCTTTGCAAATATTCTACAACTATATTCCTAATGAGCAATTGGGCATTACTTCCTTGGTGTCTAATCTTTTTTGTTTTCATTGGAATGAGATTCCATATATTGTATGCCTGCACAGGAAGAATATGATGATCATCAATGTGTTTTTTTGCACTGGAGGAATAGGATGCATTGCTTTTAAACTGCACCTGTTGTTTGACTTTTGCTTATTCTACAACTTGTTTCATAATTCAGGAGCAGAACTATTGCTGCAGTGCAGGACTTGGTTATATCAGAGCTGTGTCAGAAAAAACTTCTTTTCGTGCTCCACTCTGATGGAACATTACGCGTGTGGTGCCTTTCAAATCGCTCCAAAGTTTTGACTCATACTATGACTGGTGACATTTCCTCTTTTGTATAATTTTACATGATCATTTAGTTGATCCAATGAAAGTTCTCTCTCAGTTGTCATCTTGTCATTTTTTCTGAAAGTTCTCTATATCTATGAAACTGATACTGCAGGAGCACCATGTGCCAGATTATGGGTGGGAATGGATGATAGTGATACTAATATAATTCCATTAGCTGTGTTACAAAAACATCATTCGGTGAGTCTACAAAAAATGTTTTAATTGGCATTTATTTCGATATTTAAATTTATTCAGATTGCTACTTGTTTGGTTTGAACTACTATGACGAACCTATATTTCTATGTTTCATTGTTCACATTATGTTATTGTTTCTTACATACTAAAAAACTCCCCCCCCACCCCCACGCTCCTCAAAACATTGCCAACATTCCATTTTTACCTCTCAAAGAAAAACTTGTCCAATCATATTGTTTCTCTTTCTTCTAATAAATCACAACTACACTTGTAATTTTTTTAATTTTTGCCTAGTCAAATGCGACATATTCAAGGGGAGGTACCTCTGCATGTTTTTTGATGTCATTGTTTTGAATTTTGATTGACGAGACACATAAGAGGCTCAATGATAGACTGGAGGTATGGAGACAAACCTTAGAATACAAAGGTTTCAGATTGTGCAGAACTAAGTCCAAGTTTGTGGAATGTTATTTTAGTGGTTTGACAATTGAGTAGGAAGTAGAAGTAAAGATTTACACACACCCTATATCTAAAAGGGATAATTTTCAGTACATTGAGATCTTGGATCCATGGGTCATCCATCATTCAGGTTGATGGGAAGATCTATGGGGATGCTGTTCATCATATTTGAGACGCTTGGATGAAGTGGACATGCACCCTCTGTGATAAGAGGATATCAAAGAAGCTGAAAGGGAAGTTTTATTGCAGACTGCTCAAGCTGGCTATGTTGTATAGAGTGGAGTGCTAAGCGGTGAAGAACACTCACATTTGGAAGCTCTGAGTTGAGATGAGGATGCTAAGATGGATGCGTGCCTGCATGGTAATACAAGGATAGCTAAGGTTCGGAATAAAGGTATTTGTGGGAATGTGGGAGTGGTCTCTATGGGGGTTTTAACTTGTGTGAAGCTCGATTGAGATGGTTTGGGCATGTGTTGAGGAGAAGCTTGAGTGAGGGGGTACGAGAGGCTTGAAGAAGGGGGCGTAAGGAGGGGTAGAGGTAGACCTAAGAGAGTTGGAGCAAGGTGATTAGACTTGACTTATGGCTTTATGAACTAATTGGGGATACAATCTTAGATATAATCATCAAATGGTCTAGTATTAAGGTGGTATGGTAACCTTTTGGGTTGTGCTCTCCACATTTTGTAGGACTTTCTGGCTTATTATGTCGTATCTTTCACCCTCCTCTCCTTTGTCTTTCCTTTTGTTTCTTTATTTAGTTTTTCTATGTTCCTTTTGTTTTGAGTTGGGGTGTGTTGGAAACAGCGTCTACTTTCCACGTACGGTAAGGTCTGTGTACACCCACTCTCTCGAGACCCCACTCTATGGGATTTTACTGGGTTTGTTGTTGTTGTTGCCTAGTCAAACATGTCAATATTTTATGGGAGGAATGGAGTCTGACTTTTTTTGGGCCACATGCCACAAAAAGATTTAGCAGGTGTAGCCTTCTTCTCATCAACTTAGGGGCTGTTTGTTTCAACCTCTTAATGGTTCAGATGTCTGAATGGTTCAACACTTAATGGTTCAGACTGTTTGTTTCAGCCTCTTAATGGTTCAGATGTCTGAATGGTTAAGAGATTTGCCTCTGAATGGTTAAGTATTATACAGAGTCTGAATGGTTAAGACCTCTTATCTAAATTGATCAGACATTTGCCTCTAAATAGTTAAGCAATATACTAGCTCTTAATGGTTCAGAACTCTTACTGGTTCAGCACTTAATGGTTCAGACCTCTTACTGATTCAGCACTTACCTATTCAGAAGTTGCCAAATAGCCCCTTAGTCTTGTGGGTGAATTTTCATTAGTGAGGACATCTGACAGAAGTGATAAAGTTTTTCAAAATGTTTTACCTTGTATTATGCATGAGGATAGGAGCTTAATGCATCAGACAGAACTGGGTTTCAGGAGTCTAAACAATGAGAATATTAGAGAAACTCAAGATTATCAAGCTTTCTAATCTATCAAGGGCATTGTTTTGATCATCTAGTATAATATTTCTAGTTTCCTAATTGAATTATTTAGTTTTAGCTTTCTGTTCATCTGATGCCTTTACCATTTGATCATGATTATTTTTCTTGATATCATAGAAGTCTTACCCAAATCAACTTTGATGTTCATGTTCTTTGGGGTTTTGCTTTGTCAAGGAAGTTGGAATGGAGACTCTTTCTCTGTCTAGCCTATATTTCAGTGTTGGGGATAAGATTGATTTGTCCCTAGAGTCCTCAACTCAAAGCATTCCTTTGGAGAAGGTAATAACAAGTTACTTCATGTTCTCTTATTCTTTTCTAATACAGCCAGCTTGATAGACATTTGACCCAATTATTTGTGTATTGCCAGGGCAATTTAGTTGATCTGAAATTTACTAAAAACCAATTATGGATGCTCAGAGAAGATGGATTAGTAATGCAAAATTTAATTAATGGAAATATTGAAGAGTAAGTTTGACACCCTCATTGTGACGCAAGACTTCATTACCTGTTTTCGGTTCATGTGTCCTCATTTTCTTTTTCTTTTCTTTTCGTAGTGCAAGAGTAATATTTTTATATTGAAATATGGATAATTATGTTTATGCGGTAGTGTATTACTGATATTGACATTTTTCTGTTTTATAGGGGATTAGCTCAGTGCTACTCTTTACAGGAAGCTTTTGTTGCTGACCAGCTCTTTCAACACTGCGAAAAATCCTCAGATGATTTGCTTTGGCTTTCGGGTGCTGTATTATCATCTTCAAAGGTGTTATAAACATCCTTTTTTTATCTTGAGTGTACTTCCTACATGTCCCTATTCAACAAGCTGCCAATAAGTGTGATGTGCATCTTAGTTGAAAGTAGTCTATCCAGCATACAAGTTGTTCAATACAGATGCTAGTGCAACTTGAACAAGCCTGTATTCCAGTGCAACTTATCCATATCACATAACTGATTACTGCTTGTATAATTTTTTTTTACGTATTGCTGCCTCTTCTTAACTGGTATTTTCAATTTTATCTGCAGGATGAAATTGCTTCTTTTGTCTCTTATATCTTCTTACGTAGGTTGCTTCTTCCAGGAATTCACCATAATACCATTCTAAGAGCAACCTTACAAGAATATAACAAGCATTTCACTGATTCTGAGTTTGATTCCTTGACAATCAATGGGCTAAAAAATGAAATCCTGTCACTTATTGAGCATGAGGTTTTTCTTCTTCCTATTTATGCATATCTATTGTTATACTTCTTTATGGTTTTGTTTCCATGTGTTTATTTTCAGCTAGGGAGAGAAATGGTGTCATGAACCCCTCAGACTAACGATACTGTTTTTGTGCTAGGGCGGTGCTGAAAGTCCAGTTTCAATAGTTCACAGCTGGAAATCCTTCTGTACCCGCTATGTCCATAATTGGTGCCAATACAATGCAGCTCGTGCTTTGCTTGTTGATTCATCCACTGGAGCTGTTGGTTTGATTAGGAAAAATACAATTTCTTTATGCCGCAGTCTGAACAATGTTGAGCTTCTCATTTATGGTACGCAGGGAAGGACTTTTTTTAGTTAGTACTTCTCTATATAATTTTTTTTAGTTAATACAATTTCTTTATGCTACATTTTTTTTAGTTAACTTTTTTTATTTAATATTTTATATATTTCTAGGCTCTGAGTTGACTTTTAGTGCTGATGATCTTGAACGGGAAGTTCTCTTTGAGGTATTGCAGTGCAGTAGTAATCTCAGCCAGCAGTTGGGTCGAGCTTCTTCGGCAATATATTATGAGTCACTTCTTCGAACACCAACTTTATCACCAGAAGATGTTACTATATGCTTTATTAAAACTTTAGAATCTGGATATAGCCAATCAGCACACCTCTACTCATACCTTGGAGTTGATGTGGCTCGGGATAAGGAACTATCTAATCACAGAAATCTAAGAAAATTTTCTGTGAATATGTATTTGTCCTTACACCATTTGTACACAAGAGCTATCACATGGGCAAAAGTTCTGGATGTGATTGAGTGTTACTTGAAGCATCTTGTGCCTCTCAAAGTTGAACAAAATTTTGATTATCAAACAATCTTAAATATCGACACTGCTGTTACAGTTCAAGCTACTTCTCAAGTTGCTAAAGTGATGTTTGAATCTACATTAGATGTATATATGCTTCTAAGCTACATGATTAGCACGAGTGGGAAGGCAAGTCTTTGTTTTATATTTCTTGCCTTTACTAATGTGTGATGCTCACTATGACGTTTTCCCCTTATATAAAAACATGTTCAAAGAGGGAAGGGGATAAAAAAGAACAGAAAAAAAGAAGTGAAAGTGTTCCCGTATTGTTGTGGCTGTGCTAGCTTCCACCTGCAACATGAAATTGAGAACTCATACAACTCTTACATCACTGTGTAAACTTCTTGTTGCAAAATTGTTGGCAATGAAACAAAGAAAATCCTCATTTGAGTTCTTTATGAATAGTTCTGCAGTTCCATACTATTAAAAAATCTTGTGTATTACAGTTTCCAAAGAGTGAAAGCTATAGCATCATGATTCTTTTATCGCTTGCAAAACAGTTGGTCATAGGTGATCACATTGTGGTTTGCATTAGAAAAGCTTTGACTATTTACCCATGTCTTTGCATGTGTGAAAACTCAAGCTGGTGTTATACTTGATGATTGTGTTTATCTGTATTGTGTAAAATAAAAAGAGAATCCCATGCTACAAATTTCATGGTGAATTTTATCTTGTAAAACTCAAATAATGGACTACATCAAAATGGCACATTAAACCTCCCTTGGTTCTTACTTTTTGTGATGCTTTGTGCTATAAATGCAGCAATGCATCTAGGGTGTCAGGGAAACAATCTCTCTATTTCTTACAGGGGTAAGAGTAAGGTTGTGTACATCTTGACCCAAACGGAGTTGGGAATATTCTGGGTTTGTTGTTGGAATGTAAAAACTTAAAATTGCTTTAATTTTTTGTAGATCCACTTGTCCCATAATGATGTTTCAAGAGTTAAACTCGAGCTATTTCCTTTGATCCTAGAGACGCTTACAGAATGGCATATCATCCACTATTTTGCTACCACACCATCTGAATCACCCGTCATTGAAGATTTTAGCTCTCAACTTTCATCTCTGCACCTTGGTATGGCTCTTCAAACCCTTTCCTTTATTTTACATGGTTGCTTTCATGCTTTGTTGTTAGTGCGTCAAAGGGATGGGATTGGCTTTTAATTGTAATATCTCCCTTTATAGTACTTTACCTGGATTTTGTGAGTCTATGTACTCATTTGGTTGTAAAATTTCATTAGTTGAATATGAAGAAAACAAAATCAGCAGTTGCTACTTCTCATGGATATCATGTTTTAAGAAAAAAAGAACGAAACCATCTAACTTGGAAACACTATCATATTTTGTTTGATTAATTCAATACTTGTTTTCTTATCATGCTTCTCAATGCAATAATGTCGTTGGATTAGGAGAATATGTTCCTTCAACAATATTAATTATCTTCACTACACCCTTATTAATTGACATTTCCAATTGTTTTGCAACTGCAAAAGAACATTTTAATTCCCCTTAAAAGAGAAAAAAAGAATAGGAATATAATGCTTCCATCTGGCATGTCTATTTTCCATGTTGATGGCTGAAACTCATAGCATTATATCTCTGGGCAGATAGCAATGATAAAAAATCATGGAATGAAAAACTTGGAAAACCTGATTGTACCCTTGCTATTCTCCTGATGCTTAGTATCCAAAGTTCCTCAGAAGCCCAGAGCCACTTATCGCTTAGATGTCTTCCTGATCCTACTCGCATAAAAAGTTCTGTTCAGCAATTTGCTAGCTGGATTATATGGGGAAAGAGAAGTGAACAATCATCAGGTTTTTTGAGCCATTCAATTGAACTTGCTCTTATCTTGCTTAGACACGCCCAATATGATGCTGTTGAGGTTTGTAGCAATTTTACACTTTAATGGTTGTGGACATTCTCTTTAAGTTTGATGTTGAAATAAAACCATGTTTCATCCAGTACATGCTCAACTTGGTGGATTCATGTTTGAGGAAGGAGAAATTTTCTGGAAGTCTTCAGAGTGTGTGCGGAGAGTGGCCCAAAATCCTTCATCTTCTTGGCTGCTCTCTTATTGCACAGATACAATGTGGGTTGCATGGAATGCTAAAAGAGAAGAAAATTTGTGAAGCAGTACGCTGTTTTTTTAGGTAACCGCTTTGCTCAAACTTCTAGCATATTCACTGTAATTGTCATCATCATCTTGCACCGGTATGATCTACATTATCAGAACATTTGGGCACTGATAAATTTGTGAAGCACAATTTCATGGGACATGTCAAATTTTGATGGGAGATAAATTTCTTGATGGGAGATAAATTTTGAATTGAATTATTGATTACATACTTTATTTTGCATTGACAATTGAAGACACATACGTTATTTTTAAATAATCTTATGGAACACATGAAATACAATGTTTGATGTGTTGGCCAGAGTTTTATTTAAACAGTGTTTGATGTGTTTGTTAGACTAAAGCATACAACTTCCTCCTTGTTTGCCTTGTTTTCTTGATTCTTTGCCTACTTGCTTACTTGTTTTTACACTTCTCATAAGGTAGATGTATGGTGTGCATACTATGAGGATTTTCTAGTATTACAAGTTGAGAGTTCGATTTCACAAGCCTATTATCTTATTCTCAGAAATACCACACCCTAAGATTTTTTACCCACCGACATTACAGGTTCTCCAAAACCAGTACAACTGAGAACATGCGTCTCAACACTTGGGCCCTATTTATTTGAAGGGAAAATAGAATGAAAGAAAGGGGAGGGAAGGAAATTGGGAGGAAAATATAAATTAACCCTAGTTTGGTAGAGTGGAAAACTACAATAAGGAATAGTATGTTGGGCCCACTATTTTTTCATCTAATTCTCTCACCTTTAGACGTAAGAGTGAAGTGGCAATGGTGGGAGGTTTTAAAATTACTCAAATGACCTCATTAGTTATCACCTTACAGCCTGTTCTCTTCATCCAATCTAATGGGATCTGATTTGATTTTATTAAAGTTGGGTCTGGTGTAGTCTGATTGATTTGTTTCAAGTTATATTTAAAGTTGTTTCTAATATGATATGCCCTGTTTTGATCTTATCTGGTTAAGTAATTAGTAGGAAGAATAAGTTGAAGAGAACATGTTCGTAGTTTAGAAGCCTTGCCTCATCCTCCTACGCATATTGCCCTCATAATGATTTTTTTTAATAATTTTAAGATTAGTAGTCTATTTATTTTTAAGGATTATTATATTTATTTTATATCAAATATAATACGTATTATGAATAGAAAATAGTGGTTATTAATAAAGTACAAAAAGGCCATTTTCTTCTATTATGTTGTCCTTTCTTTTCACTTTTCCATCCAAGCAAACAAATACTTGCTTTTTTTTTGCTCTCCTTTCTATTTTCCTTTTATCCAAACCTACCTATGAAAATTCAAAATCCATCTAATTAATTTTCTTTCCCTTCTTTCCTCTCTATTTCTTTCCTCCCCATTTACCCTGCTTTCCTCTCTATTTCCCTTCTTTCCTCTATAACTTTCCTCTCTATTTCCCTTCTTTCCTCTTTTCTTCCTCTCAACCAAACATAGGCTTGCACATACCCAATTTATGACTTTTACCCACAATGTCCTTGTACTTCTAAAACCTCTCCTCTATACAAAATAGTGAAACACTCTCTCAAAGAGTAAAATGAGATTACAATCAATGCTCTATCACACGTCAACTAAATCTCTCTTAAAATTAGCTTTACCTTTCTATCAAACTTCCTATCAAAACCAATAGAATATGAGCAAGAGGTGTGGAATTCTTGATCAAACATGTGGAAAAGCTCCTTTATATATTGTAAAAGATATATGGCCATTTGGGTTTAAAAACTATGTGTTAGAGACTAGCTGTTACAAAGCTGAGTTGATTAAGGATCAAACTTAATCGATTAACACATCGAAAATTGCTCGTTGAGAGCTAGGCTTGATCAATTAAGTCATTGCTTCAATCTATCAAGGAAACTCCAAAAAACGAGCCCTCATTGATTGAGTTGTTGCTTTAATCAATAAGCATGAAGTAATAATGTTTAACATGAAGCCAACACAACTTCAAAATCAGGCAGAAGGTTTGGGATGGATTTGGACAAGCTTTATTGGTTAGCTTAATCAATTAGGTGATGCGCATTAAAGGAAATAAGCCTTGGGCTTTTGGCTCAAATGAAGGGTTTTGAATACATTTTGTGAGAGCTTTGAGAGATTAAATGTGTTGTACGCTTACTCATATATCTATGACCACAAGACCTGTGTCTTCTTTTCTTCAGTCTTGATTTCTTCACCAATCTCATAGTCATTTCCTCGGACCATGTCTTTGTCTTGAACGACTCGGTTTGTCAATACAGTCATCCTTTGTTTCTCATTCCAACTTGCTTGGTTTGTCATCATGAAAACTCGCTATACAAAATTGTGCTATCCGACACAATTAAAGCATGTATATTTCAACAATTTGGATACCGGTCTAACTCAAACGGCTATCTTTGGCACCAGAAACATAATGACATGAAACAATTAACCTTCACTATTACAGTAACATTGATAGTTACTTATACAAAAAATGTTGTATCTACGAATCACCCTTTGGCTTTGGTCAACAATGCCGGAATCTGGCTACCACTGTCTGATTTTGATAACTGTTGTTCTTCACTTCTATTGCCATCTTTCTGTCATCGCTGGCACATGAAATAGTAATTGCAATCACTGCCTAAAAAACCAATTCAAAATACTATCAGTTCCATGTTTGTGGCAGGGTTAAATTTAAATATTTCACTGCTAAACTGACACTGTTAGCATGTCATTCTGACAATGTTAATATGACAGTGTTAAAACGCCAGGTTTGTAGTGAATGTGCAAATCTTGACATTTTAACAATTTTTGTATGCTAGCATTAACAAAGCTTATGGTGGCAGTGAAAATGATTGAAATAATGTTACCCTACCATGGTTATCAAGGTGACAAGTCGAGTCAGTGAAGAGGAGACTAGTGGACTAGTCGACTAGTCGGCCTACTAGTGGTAGACTAGTCGACAAATCACAATTAGTATTGAAACTTTTAACATTATATATATCTTCATTGACTAAAGATAACTATATATATATATATATATATATATATATATATATATATATATATATATATATATATATATATATATGACGAAAAATCTTTACAAAAACAAAATTATGTTTAAAGGTAGCAGATAAAGTCACATAACAAAGGGTACATAAGAAACAAATACCCTTCAATCTTCAAAAACAACACACCAAGTACCAAAAAGATAACAAGCACAAAAAGAAGCTAAAGATAAAGAGATCTTACCCATGGAGGATGATGGAGAAGAATTGATGAAGATGAAGAAGAATCGAGTCCAGAAGAATCAATCCAGGAAGATGGGCTTTGGTGAGAGGGAGAGAGAAGTTGGGAAGGACTGTCGCGATGTGATGAGTGAACGAGGGTGGTGATGCTTTTACAGAGTATTTTTTAAAATTTAATGAAATTTGGGTTGGGTCAGGTAGGGTCAAATAACTCAAATTGTGTTGGGCCAAAGCGACTAGTCGTCGCTTTACATGACCGAACGACTAGTCCACCCAAGTCGCTAGGCGACAATCAAGTCTCCACTATTAAAACAACCGGATGGCTAGTCGATGACTTAACAACAATGTACCCTATTTATTAGCTTGACATCGATATTGAGTTCTGTAGCAGCTCTTTGATTAAGAATCAAATTGAGGGATATTTTGTGTTGAGATCCTCCTTTGGAAACTTGTAATCCACAATGTTGGCCCGACACATTGGAGCTGATCGTTGATCATAGATGGTGTAGGAGGATAGCAATTTGATTGCATCAGTGCAAGAGAGGGCAAAGGGATGAATTTGGGGCTGACGTGGGTTAGTGTTAGGGGTGTTAATATCTTACTCTATAAGATTTATGATAGTAATATCTAAAAGGGCATAGATTGAGGAGAATTGTAGGTCTTCTTTTAATATAAGTTTTTCAGTTCTATTTGTGGAAAAAAGATAATTGATCTCATGTGTGGACTTGGCAATGTTGTACTCCTTATTAGTACAATTTCTCCATACAACTTCTGATCTTGTGTTAACTACTTGCACTGACATTTGAAAGGTCTAAATAATAAATTTATGCCATGTATACAATTATGCATTCTCTTTCTCAAAAGGAGTTCAGAACTAAGGGAGTGACCATTTTATTTCATAAACATGCTAATTGTTCCCTTTATTGTGTTCAGAGCTGCATCAGCTGAAGGAGCTTCTAAGGCTTTGCAAAGTTTGCCACATGAAGCAGGATGTCTGTATCTCGGTGCGTATGTTTATTCATTGTCCTTCCTATGCTACATCTTGCTTAAGAATTTCTTGAAGTGTGAAATGATTATGTCACCTTATTGTTATTTTTCATCTAGCTCATAGTGGATCGACGACATCATTCAAGCTTCATTACTATCAATGGGCAATGCAGATCTTTGAACAATATAACATGAGTCAGGCTGCGTGTCAATTTGCACTAGCTGCACTTGAACTAGTTGATGAATCTTTTGGTGCTAAAGATGGCGACTTGAGGGTTGATCCTGTTAATGAATCACCTTCTGCTATTAAGGGACGTCTTTGGGCAAATGTGTTCAAGTTTACCCTAGACCTCAACTTGTATTATGATGCATACTGTGCAATAGTCTCAAATCCAGATGATGAAAGCAAAAATATATGTTTGAGGCGTTTTGTTATTGTTCTATATGAGCGCGGTGCAGTAAAGGTTCCATTTCATTTTCTTTCCCCTTACTCTCACACATAATTAGTTCTTCCCTGGTGTATTTGTACCCTTCTTTTGGCACATGGACCAAGGAAAAGAAAGAGAGAGAGAGAGAAGTGATCATTATGCCCCTATTTTTACAGTTTTACTTTTTGGGTGGGGGAATAAGAGTACTAGATGAGGGAAAATAAGTCAATATCACTTTATTTCTTTTTCTTCAATGGAAATGGGATAAATATGTTGTGACTAGCCAAAAAGGAATGCTACACAAGTACATTGGGCCGGAGAGAGTAGTAAATTAGGTCTGCAGATATTATGTAGCTCTCATAGTGTGGTGTTTCAACCTTGATGTTGGTAATGAGTAATATTATAATGTCACTATGCGATCTTGAAAAAATGATTGCTGTAATGGCTATTCTAAAGCTTGTAATAAGCTCTAGGAAACACACAAAATATTCCCAAGTACTTTTGCATCTTTTAATCATCAGTTTATTTTAGACATTTTCATTTGAACATATACATTAACATGATGCTTCAAAAGTACTCCTTATTGTCATATCCCCGAGCTAAAACTATGTTTTTTATAAAAATGTGAGCATCAATGTTTAAATTGGGACCATTTAATATCCGAGTTACAAGTTGTACTCTAAAAGTACAAACCAAATAACTAATGTCCATGCTTTACATTTATTTTTGTTACAGATTCTTTGTGATGGCACCCTACCTTTTATTGGCTTAGCAGAGAAGGTGGAGAGAGAGCTTGCTTGGAAGGTCTGTGATGTACATATAAAAACTTAAAAGGATTAGATGCTTGATTTTCAAGTCAGCATTATGTTCCTGCTTCTATTCTGCAGGCTGAGCGTTCTGATGTTTCAACCAAACCAAACCCATTTAGATTGCTCTATGCATTTGAGATGCAGAGACATAATTGGCGCACAGCAGCAAGTTATATTTACTTGTACTCTTCTCAATTAAGAACTATGGCAGACATCAGAGATCACCAGCATCGTTCCCTGCTTCTACAGGAAAGGCTGAATGGTCTCTCTGCTGCTATTAATGCTCTCCAACTTGTTAATCCTGCCAATGCCTGGATTGATAGTCCTCTTGATGACGGTTCTCCTGATAACGATCATGTCCCAAGTAAAAAACCCAGGATAGCTCTGGAAAATGGTAATTTAAAGGCTTAAAGCTTCAACTTGCTTGCATATATTTCATCTCTTAGATACTACTTTACTATCTACTCTTATATTGAGCCTGATATCTTATGCATTTGCCTCTCTGACTTGCCCCCTCCAAACCAGCTTCTGGCGATGGTTCTCCAACACTAAGGCGAAGGTCCTACATTGATGTTCAGAAGCTTGAGAATGAGTTCATTTTGACATCGGCTGAGTATTTGCTCTCACTGGAAAATATTAAATGGACTTTTACTGGTATTTCCGTTTCTAGCTAAAAGTTTAGTAACTAGTTACGGAGTATGTAATACTTCCCGTATCTCACCATTTTTGTCTCCATTTACATCTTTTGTCCATTCTCACTATTTTTGTCTCATACCTTATTTAGTAATGTGTGGTTCACTTTTTTCATAACCACAATTCTACTTTTCTTAATTTGCGTGCCACTATCCCATAACAGTAGTAATTTTTCAAGTAATATTGAAGGTGGAGATAATTTTATGTTTTAAAATTGCATAGAGGTTTAATCTTTAGCAATGTCATTTTGTGCATTATTCAAATTCGTATTTGTGTGTGAAGAACATCAATTTCTCTGACTAAAAAAACAGATTTGATGATATATGTCTTAACGGTATTATGTTTGAATGTCAATACTTGAGCTTTTTTTTGTGTCTTACTGACTTGCTGGTTGTTATTTACCACTTCTTTTCAGGAACTGAGAAACCCCCTCCAGATACAGTTGACCTGTTGGTCGAGTCAAATCTGTATGATTTGGCTTTTACAGTAATTTTAAAGTTTTGGAACGGTTCAGCTTTGAAGAGGTATAAATATTATTTTTAAAGTTTTCTTGGTAAGAGTGCCAAAGCAGTTGAGTTTTTTACAACTGTGACTTTTCAAATTTTGTGATGTGTATTCTAGGGAACTTGAAAAGGTGTTTGCCGCGATGGCATTAAAATGCTGCCCAAGCAAACAACTTTCTTCTTCAGTTGGGTAAGGATCTGTTAATATCTTTTTTTTCTATCTAAGAAAAGGACTTATTTTCATTGGTTTTGTCATAGGGATTCTTAGAATATCTACTTTTTACTTTTTCAGGAATGAGTGTAGACTACAGAATCTTCTTTTGTTGACATCACAAGATGAGATGATTGCTAATGGTTCTCCAAATGCGGTTCCATTACCACAACAATCTAAGGGAAATAGCCAGTGGGGAACTCTTGAACTCTATGTTGTCAGTATATCATTCATTCATTTAACTATTACTTGCAATACTATTTTATCTCTCAAATTCTGCGTTTCCCTTTGCTCATAGCTTCATAATTTGCATGCATATGTTGCATTAGATGATATTTCTATTGGGCAGTGTTTAACAAAGCAAAAGATGGGTCTTATTCTACAATGTCAAGAAAGGTGGAATCATGGTTTTAGGGTTGATCCTGACTTGAACAAATGCAATGTTTCTATGGTGTAGGTGTAGGCGGCGTGTAGCAACTAGAACAATCACGTTTACACTGAGCCTGATTTATGTTTGTATTGTTTTTCAGGATAAATATAAAGGATTCCATGGTAGATTACCTGTTGTGGTTGCAGAAACGCTTCTTGCAGCTGATCCTCAGATTGAGTTACCCTTGTGGTTAGTTAAGAAGTTCAAGGTATGCTTTATGTCTACCTAATAGACATCAAACCGGACATGAGTATCAAAGATGGTCCTTGATTATGATATAAATCCCAAAAGGTTATTAAAAGAAAAGAATAGTTCACCGCAATAAGTTCATAGCTATGAAGCCTATGATCATATAGGGTGTTTGCTATCAACAGTCAAGTTAATTACTTGATAACTAATGTTTCGTAAATGTCCCACAGAGTGCTCAACGAGAAAGTAGTTGGGGTATGGTTGGAAATGAGTCAAACCCAGCATCCTTGTTTCAATTATATGTTGATTATGGACGATTCACCGAAGCAACTAATTTACTTCTGGAGTACATAGAATCTTTTGCATGTTTGGTAAGTTTTCTCTCTCGTCCTGATTCGGTTTACAATGTTTGATCAAAACTATTTTTAATCGAATTTATTTGAAAATTGGTGTGCAATTAAAAAATTAAATTGAATTGAAACAATCAAACATCATAATTTGAAATGTAAAGTAGTAGAGACTGATGTGGGGGAATCCTAGCCGAGGTTACTAATAATTTGGGTACTCCTTCAAAAAGCTGATCTTTTTCATGTAACTTGATGCTCTAAAAAAGATTCACATATATGTTACCTTTCCTAACTTTAATAAAACCCACAAATAAATTTTCATTAATATTGGAATGGTTCATGATTTATGCCAAATAGACATTGCCAAAGTTTAAAAGTTGTACATAAATCAAATAGTGTGTTTTCTAAGTTGGAGGCAGTAAGTACCTAAGTACGTAGTAATAGAGGACTGAAATATGGAGTAATAATCAAAGGCTGCACACACGTAACCTATATTATAGGATAAATATATAGTCACATCAACTCTGACACCAAAGTTTGACACCATGTGTTTCATATTGTTTGTGTGAAACACATGGTTTCAAACTTTAGTGTCAAAGCTGGTGTGGCTGTAACATGATCCTATTTTACAAGTCAAAAATCCGTAATCTCGGGTGACCATTTGCAGAGACCGATGGATGTGATTCGCCGTAAAAGACCATCAGCTGTGTGGTTTCCATATGCTCATATTGAGCGCTTGTGGTGTCAGCTGGAGCAGTCTATCAGGCTGGGTCATATGGTTGACCAAAGTGAAAAGCTGAAGAGGTTGCTGCATTCTGCTCTGAAGAACCATCTAAATCTTGTATGCCCTTTTTATTGCCATATTTTGTTTTTGTTTTTTTTTTTGAAAAATGCTCCCAATGATAATTGGTCCTTATACTATGAGTGTATATGTTTTCTTATTTTCAGCTAAAAGTGGATTCAGATGATGTGCTATCTTCTGCTACATAATTGGCCAATGCAATGCCATTCTAACTAGGTAAAATATGTTTTGTTACTGACCCTGACCCCCACCCCCCAAACTTTAAATATGCAAGACTACAATAAGATGTTGTAGTCTTAATTATATTCTGTGGCACTGAATTACCTACTAAAAACGAGAATGTATACTGTACACCCGGATGTATGTAGAGCTAGGTACACCTGCTCAATATTCATCTTGAATCAACAGAATGTTCATTTTCAACAGTAGTGTTTATTCTGCACAATGTTCATTCTGAAACAGTCTAGTGTTTATTTCGAAACATGTTCATTCTGAAACAACATAGTATTCATTCTGAAACAACGTAGTGTTCATTCTGAAACATTTTTAATTACAAGTTTCCCATGATGTAAAAGAGGAATGTACATCAGGTTGTAGCATATAATTTGCCACTAATAAACTTAGAGTTATAAAATTATATTCACTCTTGTCATTTCTTGTTTTAGTTTTGTTTGCCCAAAGAAGATTGGTTAAGAGAAAATTTGTAGGGAGAGAACCCTTCCAAATATTGTTCATATTTGTAATTTTCCTTTTTTTTAATAGTCAAATAATAATCACTCCCTTCTAAGTTCTAACATTGCTTGGCCCTTATTCCAAGTCTATGTGGGTTTACCTCTAATTTGACCCATTCGGCGAGGGCTTTACTAAATATGATAAGATAGGCTTGCATATTAAGCCTAATTTGCAATATACCCATTGGCATTTACCTGAATTGCATTTCTAACCCATCTTTTATTATATGGTCCTTTAAGGGCCTGTTTGGTGAAAGACTAAGGATATGTATATTTGTATATAGGAGTAATATTCTTTTTTTATTTTGTTATTATCATCAATTCAACGATATTTGTATCTACATATCTACTCCAAGATATGTTTATACTCTTTTTCATCTACTTCTCTTCACCAAGTTTAGAAGTTTTATAAACTTAATTTTGAATCCACAATTTGATATCTTCATCCCCAATTTCATCACTTGGTTTAGTTATTTATCAATGTTTTGGTTAATTTCGTGCAACTGAAAAAGTTTTGCCACATTTTTTAATATTTTTTTAGATTTGTAATTTGAAAGTAGAGAGGGTCATTCATATTTTTATTAAATTATCATCAAATTTAATATCGATCAAATATTATCGATTTGCAATAGTTTACAAAATAATTTTAGTGTATTTTATTTGGTGTAATAAAATCATATCCTATATCTGCATTTGATATCTTAATTACTCACTAAACATCTGTGACAGCTATTTGATTTAATTTCTTTTATCTTCAAATACTTTTCTTCCATATTTCTAAACTCTCATTATTTCTTTCAGATTTCAAAACTCATTTCATTTCTTCCAAATTTTAAAATATACTTTTTCTTTCAGATTTTAAAACACATATCTAATCATATGTACAAAACTCATCAAACGTGCAGTAAATGTTATTTTAGTTTCTCGATCATGTTCTAGCCACCTATTTTTGCCTCAATCTAAACATACCATTTATTCTCTCGGTGTGTTTGTCCATTTTTTTGGCACTTTATATATGAGGTTAGAATAATATACTCCCTTCACCCCAATATAAGAGGTCAGAAAAATATATTCCCATGCCTCAATGTAAATCCTCTATCTCGATTTATGATATTTGGCTAAAGTTATTTTTAAATTTTTATTTGAGAATTATGGTGGAGTTAAAAAAAATCTTATATTTAAAAACTACATAAAAAACTCTATGAAATAAGAGGTGACATGATTTATTATTTTATCAAATAAATAGCAAAATTAGATATAAAAAGGGAATAAAGTTTGATTATGTGAATAACGAACAAGAAACTTAAATTGAGACGAATGAAATATTATTTTATCAAATACGCAATGAAATTAAATAAAAAATGATTAAAATTTTATCTTCATATAGTATACGGACAAATTTTGTGGGAGGGAAGTAGTATTAAGTACGGAAATTACTCCCTCCATCTTAAAACGTTCTTCCCGTTTCTATTACGGGTATGATCGAATTTATTTTTAATTTAATTTATTTGATTGTAGATGTGAAATTAAAAAAATAAAATTTATATATATAAATATTACATCAAAAGTTCTACAAAAGAAGAGGTGACAAGATTATATAATTTTATCAAATAACTAACGAAAATAGATAATGAGAGTGATTAAAATTTGATTGTGTGAATAGTAACTGGAAAGAACATTTTAGGACGGAGGGAGTAATTATTAATGTTTTGCTTTTGAATCGTTCTCAATTTGTCAACTAAAATATGGAGTAATCACTAAGGGTGTTAGAGTATCTCCAACCATTGAGTTTTGGCTTGTTAATTGTCATTATTTGGCAATCTATTTCAATTTGTGTGCTCCAAGGGTCTTGTTATATTATAGCACACTTGGTAAATTCTAACTTTGGCTTGTTATATATAGCAAGTCTCTAAAAATATAGCAAACCATGATATTGATTAAATATTTGATTTTTCTCTCATTTCCATTTTCAAAACATTTGGTTACTTCTACTCCCTAATTTTTTACTTTTTGTAAAGTTTTTTCTCTAATCTTTAATTGGAATTTATTAAATATTTAAAATAATGCTATGTAAATTTTATTATTTTCTTTAAAATAAAATATTACTCCATATTGTTTTTTGAAATTATTATTTTTAAATTACATACTTATTGCTTAATTTTTATAATATAAAATAATAATTGAATAATTATTATAAAGAGTATTATAATAGTGAAAGCAATATAATATAACTGTTAGCTAAATTATAGCAATGAAAGGTTGGAGATGACAATGCAAAATGATTTGCTATACCACTATTTACATGCTAAAAAATGACTTTAGCAAGCCATGTTTAGCAAGTGTGGTTGGAGATGCTCTTAGTGACTATATTTACACTTTTCACCAAATTTTGGTAAAAGCACGGGAAATACTCTTGAACCTTCATGCCTTCAAAATTTCACTCTCTGCCCCGCCAGGTTTAACTTACTCACAATTTCATTAGAAATGGGTTTGAAGCCATGAGACTTCAAACTGAGGCTTCAAACCTTTATCTTTTTACATTTTAATTAATCCACATTTTGTAAAACTAAAACAATAAAACTTCATTAATTAATTAACTTTAAACAAAAATAATTCATTAAATAAAAATTACATTACATAAAGAACATTTAATAAAATATACATTAATAAAAAAATAAGGTAAATTATATTTGGCTTTGATCTCTTTTTGTCTTCTCTCATAAAACATACTTTTGAAGCCTGTTAACGTATCATGGTCGGATTCCAATATTTCGATCTCTTCCTTCTCTTGCCTTCGTTTCTCCCTCTCTTCTTCCCTAGTATTGAACACTAGAAGATGTTCAACCATTGCCCGACCGATATTGTCGTGAGAAGAAATAAAGTCAGACCCTGCCGAACCCGAGACAATAGATTTTGTCTTCTCCTTCCTATTGTCCGTGAAATAGGGTCCTTATCGTCGGAGTCGTCTAGGTTGAAGGGAGGCATTTGTCCTGACGAGCCGATTGTTGAGTGTTACTTCAAAGTCCCACATCGGTGGGATATAAAAATCGAGGAGGGATTGGAGCCTATAAATAGAGAGGGGGTATAGGCTTCCAACACACAACACAATCCTTCAATCTATATAATTGTGTATTAGATTTTAGGTCGTGAGTGTCAAATATTGGAGAGAGTTTGTAATTTTTCCGTGCAAAAATTACTAGTGAGATTTTATCCCAGAGGGGGTCGTGGAGTAGGTCTTGAGGTGCCGAACCACGTTAAATATTTTGTGTGCTCTTTTTTCTTTCCTTTCCATTTGTTTACAGTAGGGGCCTAACACCGATAGTGTCATAGGCCTCAACCTCAACGAAGGATCTTTTCTTTGACAATCTGACCTCGGGACTATTGAGTTGTTTCCATTTGGGTGAACGGATTAAAATTCTCCAATGATCGACGAGAACCTTGCCTTGGTGTCCATCGTCTTAATATCGGGCGGTGGCTTGCCGCAAAACATCGACATCATTCATCCCGCTCTTCCGGACTGAGAGCAATCCGCGTAAACTCCGATAAAATTTCGGACTTTACGGTTGATGTGGCCCCATTTGGAAGTGAGTTGGTCTCCGATTCGGTAGGAGGCGTCCTTGTTCATCGCCGCAAAAAATTTCTCATCGATACGATCCTAGATCGCATCCTTCGTTTGCTCTGAACTTTTAGAAAATATATAATTAAAGAAAAAGAATGTTTTAATACAAATATTTAAAAAATAACATATATACAATATATACTAAAAAACATATAAATTTTACCAACGATAGGATGCTCGGCGACGTCAACCCAAGCGGACGCCAACCACAATTCTTCCTCCGGGATCCACTTTTGAATGGATCGTGCCGCCTCGGTTATCGGCTTGTCGCCCTTTGATTCGTGACTTTTCCGGCGTGCACTTTTTTTGGTGCACTTGGTTCCAGTTGAGTCTCTAGAACCGACTCCGAGTCCTAGAGATTCACCAAGGTTTGCATATCATACACCGACGAATTACCGGCGTATGATTGGAAAATCCACATCGCTTCTTTGTTTGGCTTGAGACAAGATGAAAGAATGTTAAAATCGAAGGGATTCATGTTAAAATTAAAGCCAAATACTTGAATAATTTTTTAAGAAAGTGGAGAGAGAGATTTGTATTTGTGGTGTATACTGAATTTTAAAACTAGAGAATGAATAAATAGAGGAGAAGATTTTTTAATGCCCCCTAACCCTAGGTAAACCCCCCACCTCGCCCAAACCCGAATGTACTCCCACTGATTTTAATTGCACTCCCCAAGTTTATTTGACTTTGAAATCAAAATTTTGACTCCAAAGTCAAATAAATTTGGGGGTACAATCATAGGGGTAGGGGGATGTGTTCTTGTCGGGGCGGGGGGCTTATCGGGTGGTTTGGACGTAGGAATCGTCAATTTTAAGAATGTGGTACTGTAGGAGCACCGGGTCATCCTTTGACATGAGATTCTAATGTCATAGGAACTCTTCCGTAATAAAATATTTCTAATTTTTAGAATATTGTTTAATGTCATGTAAATTAAAAAAAAATTAGTTTTTCAATAAAAGGGTAATTTACCTAAATAGGACTAAAACATAATGACTTTTTCAATATAGGACTATTTGTTTTTATTTTCCAATGTAAGACCATTGATCATTATCTATTAGTCATTATTCAACTAAATTTCCAGCATCACTTGGATATTATTTTTCTCACTAGTCATTATTAATTCCTATTTAAGGAATAAAAAAGTTTAAGTCCTACATTGAAAAATGACTTATGTTTTAGTCTTATTTAATACAAATTTCAGCCTATAAAATTGTACCATAGCTCTTTCCAATAAAATTGTATCGCAAACAATGAAAGCGTTGCACCGTAGCCATTTCCAAAAGAGATTTGCTAGGTGTCCAAAAAATTACTCCGCGAGGTACTCTTGATTTTTTCATAATAAATTAATAATTCTAGTTATATATTTTTCATAAGAACTATCAGATCCCACATTATTCAAAATATAATCTAAGAGTCCATAACATTCGTGGTAATATACTCGGTGCACTCCGTCTATTTGACCGCTATGATTGAAAGTTTTATTACTTTGACAAATACTAAATTTTACATTGATAATTATTATTTTATTAATTTTTTTTTAAAAAATTAATTTGTCAAAGTAAAAGATTTTTTAATCTAATGTCTAAATTGAGAAAATGTATGCTCTAATTATAATACCACACGTTTTAAGGACTCCGAGGTATATTATTTTAGATAAGGTGTGACTACACACAAAAAATCAAAAAATCACTTCTCACGCTCACTCATCACTTCTCACGTACACAGACGCACAAAACGTGTGTTTTACAATGGAATCAAAAAATTTCTTCTGGTTCTTCCAAATTTTTATACGGAGTAGTTTTTCGTCACTTGGCGTGTTTAAGCATATGTTTTGAGGAGCGTATTGACAAGAAATTATCTGTGTTGTTAAATCAGATTGCTTCGAGTAAGATTGTTGACCTAAGATGCCTGGATTGCGTACTTCCGTAGATTATTTCTAGTTCAATGTTCAAATTAGGGTTTTACGTTTGCTAATTTTAGGAAATAAAGACCCTTTTTTGGTATTTTGTATAAATTTGGAAACTCTAGAAATGAGTTCTACTTTTGTGTGCACTGGAGCTACATTTATTATGTGTTTTTTCCCTTCAATTTTACATTTATGTATGAGTTTTCACAAAGAAGGAAAACTTCCTTTGTCTCAGGACAATTGAATGGTTTCTTCATTTATGGATATCGAAATTTTTCTAATGTATGTAATATTCTGATAATCTATGTTAGCCAGGAAATCATTTCTTCACGAAGGCCTTGTTTGGGAACCATGTTTTTGATTAGCATTTTGGATAAGATTTTAAAGGTGTAGATCAATTTTGAAAACGCTAACGCTAAAGGCGTCCGTCGGATAGTCTTTTCAAAACGCTACCACTAATCTCTAATGCTGATGCCAAATTGGGTTGAAGTGATTTTATTTTGGAGCTCTTAATTCATCTAGCTAATGCTTATCCTAAAAATTTAGGTGTTTTAAAAAGGTAAGAGACAGGAGTGACATATTAAATTAAGACACTATGTTAATAGATTTTGTTATGCGTGTACTTGCAGTTAATAGATTCTGGGTGTGAACTCAAGATGATAGATTCAGCAGAGGATTTAAGCAAAAAGCACATGAACCGCAAGGTTGACAGTAATGAGGATAGTGAAATTTCAAGGTTGGTTGTAACTGATGACGAAGTAAGAACAACCAGAGCTGATATTTTTCAATCACCGGCAGAAACCAGAAAAATAGACCTCGTATGGCTATTGAAGACTTTAATGTGGTGTTCTATATGTGTCATCATTATTTTAATCTTCGTAAAGTGGGGAGTTCCTTTCCTATTCAAGAAGGTATGCCATTCGCTCGTTTAGTTTAGCTAATAGCTTAGAGTATAACTTAATAGTACTAGGGCACTAGGCCTTCAACCACAAATTTTGAGCTTTTGGTTGAGTTGGTTCCTTAACATAGTATCAAATGCTTGTTGACCTAGAGGGCTAGAGGATAGGACTTTGAATCCCACCGCCACCCACCCTAAAGGAATTAGTGTTCGCGTGCAAGGTTCGAGTAACCAGACCTTGCATGCATGTGAGAGGGCATGTTAGAGCATGAAACTTTTTTAGGCCTTCAACACAAGCTTGAGCTTTTGGTTGAGTTGGTTCTTAAAGAGTTTGTCCCCATGTTGTACTTTTGGGCTTTTATGAGAAGTTTAGTGTTAAAATTCATGTGGGCTGAGAACAACATGCACAGTGTCGGGTAAAATTAACCACTTGCATATAAAGTCGGGATGCACTTTCTAACCCAAAAACTTAAGCTCATAGGTTGGGCTTCACCCTTCTATATATACTAGTGGTATTCTTCTTTATTTTCTTGATTTGGGAAACTCCAACACTCCCTCTCAAGTGGTAACTAGCCTGGCCTAGTTAGCACTTGGATGAATGGGTCTAGCATCTCAATCTCTTATAGCCAGCCAACACAACGGGCGGTGGCATCTCAATATCTTTTAGCCAACTCAACCCAAACGAACCACAGACAGGTAGTTCATTTCGCTAAACCAACGCCCAAAGAACTAGGAAAAATTGAATCCGGACCGGACCTGCTTTGATACCATGTTTAAATTCCGGTGGGCCGAGAACAATGGGAGGAGTGTCGGGTAAAATTAATCACTTGCATATATAGTCGGGATCCACTTTCTATCCCAAAAGCTTAAGCTCGTAGGTAGAGTTTCACCCTTCTATATATGCTAGTGGTATTCTTCTTTATTTTTTGATGTGGGAACTCCAACATTCAGTGGTACTATAAAATAGTTTATGTGTAATGCTGTTTATAAGATGCACATAAATGAATACATCTGTGATATGTCATAGAAAGATAGGAAAAATGAGTCTTATCTTTATTTATCCGTTTTTTTTCTCTGACCTAACTTATAAATCATTTTATTTTCATGTAGGTTCTTATCCCAATCTTACAATGGGAAGCCACTGCATTTGGTCGTCCAGTTCTTGCACTTGTGCTTGTGGCTTCTTTGGCACTGTTCCCAGTTTTTCTAATTCCTTCTGGACCTTCCATGTGGCTAGCTGGAATGATCTTTGGATATGGTATTGGTTTTGTTATCATCATGGTAGGAACAAGCATTGGTATGGTCCTTCCATTCTTAGTTGCCTTGTTCTTCCGTGATCGGATCCATGTAAGACGCCATAAAAGCTATCACTTGATACTTTCTATATATCTATCTATGTTTGATTGCTTTCCTACTATAGTACTATTGTTTATTGTCCTGTCTTGTTAATAGTTTCCTGATTAGAAAATGGAAATGTCTTTGAGGGCCTATTTGGAGCTCAGAAAATTCTAAGGAAAGAAAACAGAGAGGAGTCAGAGGACATTCATAAGGAAAGGAAATTTGGGCAGGAGTAAAAATTGCTTCTAGGTCAAGAAATTAGCTTTAGATATTCGTTCAAGCTCGTTTTATTTGAGTATTTCTAGTACATGAAGATTAAGATAGCTAAATCTAAAATTTTAAAAAGCTTTTCCCATTGTATTTTTCAAAAGTGAAACCAAACATTAAAAAAACATTTCCTTAGTTTTCCTCCTTTTACTTCCATTGTCCAAGTTCCAAACATAACCTAAAGAAATTTATATATTTTGTACAGCAATGGTTAAAAAGATGGCCTAAGCAAGCTGCTATGGTTAGATTGGCTGGTGAAGGAAGCTGGTTCCATCAGTTCCGAGTTGTTGTTCTGTTCCGGATTTCACCTTTTCCGTATACACTCTTCAATTATGCGGTAGTGGTTACAAACATGAGATTTTGGCCTTATTTCTGTGGATCGATTGCTGGAATGATCCCTGAATCTTTTGTCTACATCTACAGGTAACCGTTTCCCTTTCCTCTTGGACCTGTTCTATTCAACTTTTAATTCCATTTCTTCAAAATCCAGTCTCTAGAGACTTGACTTTAGACTCCAAAGTTTTGTTAACATTAACTCCAGTCTCCCGGGCTCTAGTTTCCAGAGTCCAGTTAAAATTAATGCGCAAGGAACAAGTTCTTTATGGTTTAAGTCTAGTACATAAATTTATTTTGTGAAAGTTCTTTTATTGTTTATCAATAGCTTTGAGTGTTTTGCTTGAAATTGCTTCATCTGAAACCTTTGGTGCTACTCTGCAGTGGTCGGCTAATAAGGACGTTTGCAGATGTGAAATATGGGAACCATGACCTGACTAATGTGGAGATACTCTACAATGTCACTTCATTAATTATCGCCATTATCATCATAGTCATATTCACTGCATACGCCAAAAGAACATTGAACAATCTTCAACTGTCTGAGAGAAATGGTGATGGCCCCACTCCTGGCAATGATAATAAACCTGAGACGGAACAACTCCCCAATGGAAAACCCATTCACTCAAGCCTTTCTGTTACCATCCAGTAGTGGTAGTACTGTAGTAGACTACCAACTGTTAATTTTACCTTAAATGATTTGTAATTAGAAATGTGAACAAACAAAAATGAATAATTAATACACTGTTTTCCAACTAATGGCTCATCTATGTAAGCTGATGATGGAGATATTAATATTATTGTTGTTGTTGTTATTATTATTATTATTATGATTATTATTATTATACAGGATTTGGATAATGAGAGAGCTGAATTGTTGATGAGATGCCGGCTGCTGGCCTATCAGATGTGGTGATGCTTTCAAATGGGAGTGTGGCCAAGTGAGCCGTTGAGCCGGTCTTTCTTCTTCTAGCCCAGGCCAGAATTTTTTCCTGCGTGAGTTCGTCGAAAATCCCTTGTTTAAAGTGGCTTCCCATCTGCATTCATCAAGTTGGAGCATGGCCGGTAATTTATACAGTAAGTCCACACATTATTGCTCTCAAAAGACAAACTAGGAGTAGCCTAAGAGGAGCAATTCTCCTAATTGTGGGATCCAACAACTTTTTAAAATTGATGTGGTGAGGGTAAAAGAATGCAATGAAATTTACCTGGGTAACTAGAGCATATAAAGGGAGTGTGCTGTAGCTGCAGAGGACTTGAACAATCACACTGCAGTAAATTCAATTCCATACAGTAATAAATTATGTAATTATTAATAGTAAGAGTGAGGGTTTAAGTATTCTCCAAACAAGGGCTAGTTAGAATATACCCTATTACAAGCTTTGGGATGGTGAAACCCAATGTTTCCATGATGCATGATCTGAACCCGTATGTAGACTGGAAAAAATGTAATCATAATTAATTTTTTTCGCTCTCTATAAATGCCCGACAAAGGAGTAGATATTTGCCAACACAAGGCTGTGAGTTCGACTCCCCAAGGAGATCCTTTTGGGACGGATACATGTGCCACCATAATAAGAGCTCGGGGCAGGGCCCTCGAAGCGCTTTACAGCTCTGGGGTCCGTCCATGCCCTCATCCGGATTAGTCTCTCAATGGGAAGATACCGAGAGCACAATAAATAAATAATAAAAAAAATTATGGACAAAAAAGGGAGTGTTACACTTTTGTGAAGATTAAATCAAAATCTTACCAAAATCCAGGCAAAGAATGCAATCTCAAAAGAGTTTTGGAACAAAATGAAGTGAATCAAGTGAAATATTAGTTTTGGGCTTTTGAACCAAAACAACTCATCCGAGGGCTTAATCCCCACCGCTTCCGTTCCATTTCTTTCTGCTAAATCTTGTGCTAATTCTGTGATTATGTGCTCTAACTTTGTTCCCACTATAAGCAGAAGCTGCAAGATTTTACCCAACCTTATGAATCGTGACAGCGAGGTAAGATTTCTGTTGTTCATATTATTCTTCTTGGCATACAATTTGCATTCTCATATGTACAAGTGATTGCAATGAACCAGATAGAGAAAAAAAGAGAGTTTGTTCCTTACAGTTATAGGCAAAAATGACATCCAAAAATAAGTATGCCATCCTGCAAGATTTCCATGACACATGCAAAGTTACTCATTTATTTACTTGTAAATACAATGAGAAAGATAACGAATCAGTTACCGCTAGCTCACCAGTCCAGTTTTTCTGGTTTGTTTTTTCAAGTATCGTTTTTGGCATGTTGCAATTGGTTTTTTGTAGGCTTTATTGGTTAAGTCGGGTTTTAATGTATAAACATTAAACCATGAACCCGAACTACCTATATCTAGATTGGCATTCTCGGTTTTAGTTTTGACCGGTTTGGTTTTCGTTGATTCTGCTTTAGTCTTATTAACAAGATGAAATTGTGGGCATTATTTTATTTAGAAATAATAGAAACGATATCAATCCCATAAATTTTTTTTAAGAAAACAAACGAAGGTAAATCTTTCTTTATAGAAAACAAAGCACATTGAAGATTTAATTTTAGGACAACAAAAAATAAAGAATTTTTGAAATTTTTTCTTAGGATGAAGAGAGTATTTAATTTATACACTACCTGCATAAATACATACCTGCAATGTTCATCAGCAAGAAAAGAACAACAAACGCCCACAGGAGTCCACTGTCCAATTAGCACAGGCCAATTTCCAAAGTTTAATTACTAAAGAATCTGACTGCTTCAAAATGCATACATATTGGTTTTTCCCCAGTAAATTTTGATTTAAAATGTAGACATGAATTTACCTAATGCCCACAATTTTCTTGAAATCATGTTCCAGTGTCCTCAACATGTACTTGTGGAAATCAAAATCAAGTTTTGTAGGGCAATGGGCCTGCAATGAGTGAATATATACAGTATATATATATATATATATATATATATATATAATAAATGTGCATGGATCTGGGTATTTATAGGGTGTTTGAATGGGGGGGGGGAATATTTTCACAGAAAATTTTCATTCTATTTTCCTGTGTTTGACAAGGACGGAATTCATTTTCCTATGTTTGATTTTCCCGTGTTTGATTTTTTGGAGTCAATAAGATCATGCGTGAGACTTCGAGCATTTATATACTTCGTATATAAATTGCACGTTATTGTTTCTTTTTTTTTGAGGAAATTATTGTTTCTTTTTAATCGACTTTACTTTTTCATCTTTTCTAAAGGAGTACTCGTAGTATTTTTTTAGCTTTCTTTTTAAGGTAAGACATTTGTTATTCATTTGTTTTTTTCTAAAATTTTTTTTAGTTACACGTCCCTGTAAGGTACTGTTCTTTTGGGTTGGAAAAATTAACTTTCAACTTCTTCTAACTCCTTCCAGTTCTTTCCAACGACTTAAAAAATATATTTATATATGATTAATATAGAATGATATTATATATCCAAATTTATAACATATCACTTCAAACACGACAAGGATGAATTCTTTTTTATTCAAAGTTAAAGTTTTCTAACATATTTATTAGGGTCATCATTTAATTGAGTAATTTTTTTACATTCTTTTTCAACATTTTCAAATTTCTTCCAATTTTTTCCAGTTTTTCCTCATTTTTTTAGTTTATTTTAACATCTAATCTTGAAATTTTAACCCAAAAGGAAAAAGCTAAGTGTTTAACCTATGTGCTAAAGGTAGTTGAAATTCTAGTTGATAAAGGATACACCACATTTAAAAAATGATTTGACAAAAAAAATTACACTTATAAATCCAGATCTCAGCACAACGTAGTCAGACTTGGTAACTGGACCATAGAATTGTTTGAAAAATGCCACCTACAAAAGTAATAAAATGATTTAACCAAAGTTATCCAATAATCGATTAAATATTTAAACATAAATAATTAGACAATTCATTTGACTAACCAGCCAACTTATAACAGCAAACCTTCTCCAAAATTTGCCTGCTCTTTCCTTGAATGATTGAAGATGCAATTTATGTAATCTGTGATGACCTATTTGATTTATACATAAAAGGATCCATCCTCATGAGAACTATATATGATGAGAATATAAAAAAAATTCCTGGACATTTAATCACGAGTTTGAACTTCTAGTTGAGTAATTAGTCTTTCAATTAGCATCACATCTGAAATTTGTAAACACAGAGATCACGAGTATAAATCTCATTGTGATTTTCTTTCAAAAAAAATTAATAATTTTAATATGCAAGGCTCAAGCAAACAAGATTCTTTTGCATGCATTGGGACATGTTAGGTTATAAAACTTTTTCTGAGCCTCCAAAATATTGATTTGATTTCTCATCAAGAACGATCGAGTTTCGAAAGACAGAACACTAGTTTATAAGTTGCACTAGGAAATCGATTTGATACCATTTTTTTCATAGATAGGGCTTGTTTTATAGCTACCTTGTTCTTCTTGTGAAGCTTTTTGAATTGAATGCTCCCAATGCCGCCATTGTCTTACCTAAAAAAGAAACAAAAAGATTAATGCGTGCATTTCATTAATGCTATGCATGTTTGGTTCGTGGAATTCAGAAGGAAAGGAAAAGAAAGAGGTGTTTACTTTTTTCTCCTTTCCCGAAGGAATCTCATTTTCATTCTTCTTAGTGCATTTTCTTTTTTCATTTTCATTTCCTTTTTTTTTCTTTTTCACCATAATCAAACATGAAAAGTTATTTTCTCTTTTAATTTTTCTTTTTCTCTTCAAATTCCTTGAACTAAACATAGCGTAAGAAAAACATGGGAAGTGAAAAATAATTTTCACTAAAAGTATAACCATACGTTTATTTTTTTTACATTAATTGAAGTGTTATACATAAATAAATGCTAGCACAAGATATATACAAAAATGCTAGAGGAACCCCAAGCATTTGACACAAAATGCACACCAAGGCCAATACAGATAATTAATGTCTGCGTATTCACAGACATTAAATGTGTCTGTATTGGCCATTTGGCCTTGGTGTGATTTGGTGTCAAAATCATGGGTCCCCCTAGCATTCCTCATATATGTGTGTGTGTGTTAATTCGTATTACATGCTCGCATTGTTGGTCAATGTTTTTTAAACTTTGAATGCAAATTTTGGTGAAAAAAATGTTACATTGAAAATCATGAAAAGTCAAGGCAGAAGAAAGCTATGGGATGGAAGAAGTGCATGGGATATGAGTAAAAAGATAGGTATATATGGATAAAATGTGAGTTTTGGACGTACTTACCCTTAGACCTCCAAGGACCGTAGTAGTGGCACAAAAGGTAACATGAACAAGAGTCATTACAAATATGAATATGTGCAGTTGATGCAGCGCCTCAAACGACACCATTGGCACCTTTCCCTACATACATACATTATGCAATCCCTATACCAAATTAGTTGGTCAAAATGACGTGCAAAAAGATGTAATGTCGGAGTTCGACTTTTGTCAACGACGATAAGCTCCCCGAATCTCAAAGTTAACGTACTTTGGTGTTGGACTTGATAATGTTACTTACAAAAGGTATTGCAAAATAAAAAGTGTATTGTTGATCAAGTTTAATTAGAATAGAGAGGAAGGTTGTAAGTTGTATATTTCATTCGTATGAGACTTTTTGAAAGGTTTCAAAAATAAAAAAATTCATGAGAGTTTGGCATAACACAGATAATATCATACTAATGCAGAGTTAGAATTATAAGATACACACGGTCCCACACTAGAGTTAGGACTAAAGACTACTCCCTCCGTCCTTGAAAATCTTTCTTTTTTCATCCGTCCCAAAAACGCTTTTTGTTTCTGTTAAAAAGTCACTTTTACCCATTACTTTTTCATACCTTACATATCAAATCATACCTTTTTACTAATAATTTACCCATCAAATCCTACTTTTACCATCACATCAAAGGACTTTTTTAGAAATTCAATACCAAAATACACTTCATTCAATCTCTTAATATAAAAATTAATAATTCACATGTTTTTAGGACCGGAGGAAGTAGTAAAATTAGGTTTAGGAGACATATACATACCTTACTTGCGCAATGTTCTAAGTTTTTTGTATGTGTGGTGGTGGCCAAAAGCCTTGTGATAATTATGGTGTGGGTGTGATGATTTTGAGAAGCAGAATTAGGGGATTGGCATGGAAGCATGATGGTTGAGAGATAGTGAGGAATGCACAAGTGTTTGCTTAGCCCTTGTGTCACTGTCAAAAGTAGTGATATAAACCCCAATAGCATCAACTCTGCATGCATGCACAAACAACCCAAAATCAAACATATCATTCACACTTACACACACACTTACACACATACTCCCTTTGTCCCAATAAGAAGGTTATGTTTCATTTTTGCGCATTCCAAAATACACTTCAACCCAAGTTTTTTGGCATTTGAGACGATTTAGAAGTGTTTTATGAGATGCGCAAAAAATGAAACGTGTATATATGGAGGGAGTAGACATGATCCCCACTCAATGGAGTAATTACAATACCATCCTTGAGTTTCTGCAAGGCCTCGAACAAAGCCCCTTGGTCCTTTCTCTTGAAAAGCTGGATTGGTTCAAAATCATGCCAATGTTAAGCATTATACGAACTCTGTAGTATTTAAGAAAATCAACTTAAATAGGACTAAAAAAAAGTAAAATTTATATCAAAATAAGACCTCATATCTTTTTATTTTCTAAATAAAGGTAGGGTGTTTATTGCATGTGAATTGTTACTCGTATAATGTAGCATTGTGTGTTGGCATTACATAATATCTGTTGGTAGAACATGTTGACACTATAAATCTTATTTTAGTACTCAATGTAAAACATTGAAGTTTATATTTTGAAGGAATTTATTTAAATAGCATTAAAACATAATGACTTGCCCTAAATAGTACCACATGTGATATGTACTCCGCATGTAAATGGACTTGTAAGAATAAAATCCCTAAGTATATACCTCATTTTTTTCCTTCAAAGATTTAAGTTTAAACTTTAGTTACTTTCTTTGTTTATTTTCATTGTTAATTTGATAAATTAATATAGTATTGTCTCTTCTTATCCTGTAAAACTTTTGATGTAATAATATCGAACGTCCGCGTTTTGTTTTTAGTTCTTATAAAATATTTTTTTTATTTAAGTCAAAAAAAATTGCAAATGGTCCCAAAACATAAATAACAATCCAAATTAGTTGAGATGACTTATCCCTTACAACTCATCATGTTATTCTGCGTCTATAATTACATCACAACCATGTTATAAATGGTACCCTTTACATATTAATTCCTCAATTCCCATTTTTTTTTCACATTTAACAACTCCTAATAAATTCGTTCAAGACTCCTCCCTAACATTGTCTTCCATTTTATACCTGAGTTCTAATCATCGTGCTTATTAGCTTGTGTAAGAAATGAAAAAAAATATGGGAATTGGGGAATGAAATTTGATGGACACAATTCAGGGCACGACTAGAATGCTAAGTAAGAAATATGTGTGTGATCTCAACATATTAGAACTGCTAACTATGTTTTGGAATCATTAGCAAAATAAAGAATTTGTCAACGATGACTTAAATAGTAAATACTTTGTAAGGACAAAAAGCAAAAGTCTCGTATTAAATACAGGGATAAAAAACATATTTAACCTAAATATGATATTTAATTAACCTGAAGAGGATTTATCTCTTAAAAGAATAAGAAATACTCTGTATGTTTTTTAATACTAGTAACTCTATTACAAGATAATATCTATTTATACATTTTTAATTTGTTGAAACACATAGAGTAATTATCTACATTTGGATTGGAACACAGCCAAATTCTTATGTGGTTATTGAGTTCATACTCAATTTATAAACCTTATTACAAACATATCATGTAAAAGTTGGATCTTTTGCAAAAGAGAAAAATATCTATTTGTAAAAGTTGGATCTTTTGTAAGTCCATTTTTTGATGTGAATCTTAGGAACACAGAAACACAACTTCAAACATATTACTTTCTATTTGGGAGAGTTATAGCGGTGCCACTAGATTATATTACGAGGTCTTTGGCAAGTCATATTTATTAATTAGTACAATAATGACTTTCTCAATTAATTAGTGCCAAAAATTTAATGATATGCATACCCGTCCAAGTTGATGGAGGCCACGTTCGGCTAGCAAGGAAATGATAATGATGACGGAGCACACGACGGCGACAACCCACGTCGGAGTGTGCTCGAACGACGGTGCCGCTTCTTCTCCTCCCTCCATTATTTTCGCCCGCCGTGGATGAGGCGGCTCCGCCGGCCTCTATAATATCTGCTGCCGTATAAGTTTTGATTTTTTTAAAGAAGAGAACTTAGATAAGTACGTGAAAAATAAAAAGGAGGTAATGTAATAAGGTGAGAAAGCAACTTATTTAATAATTGAGGTGATCTATCTGTCTATATATCCATCGAGCCAAGGAAGGAATAACATTTTGCATGTAGTATTAGTATACCATACCTTTAGAGTAAGTTAAGGATCATATATAAATATGCAGTGTATTTTCTTGAAAGCAAAACATATATACAACGGATTATAATGTATATATCCTCTAGAATATAAAAAATCTTTCTAGTCTTACGATCATAATTTTTAATTTTGATGAGGTTGAGTTGGTTTCTTGACATGCATGATTTTAAAACTTTATTAGCTTTGAGGTCAAGAGTTTATAACTACTATCCTTATTGTTACCCTTTTTTTTAAAATAAAATTTCCCGTGCGATGTTCGAAATGGGCATAGATCGAATTTCACGTGCGAGGTTTGAAATTGCTTGGTACACGAAATTTACGTCGTACAATTGAAATTATTTGAAATTTACGTCAATTTCGTTCGACTCTGCTGTTTGTTAACACAAAATATGTGAATTTGGATTTCAATTCTAATTCCAAATTTCAATATCAATTCCAAAAATATGTGAAGGTGAATTTGGAATCATAATATATAAATCCATATCAATTCCATATATAAATCTGTGTTACCAAATAAAAGATTAGAACTGCAATACAATTTTTTATCAATTTCTTAATTACACTCCGTCCGTCTCAATTTAATTCACCTAATAATGTTGTTTATGTGGTTTGACTAAAACTATTTTTAATTCAATTTATTTGAAAATTGGTATGGAATTAAAAAAAATTGTATTTACTAATTAACTATATCAAAAGTTTCTATAAATCATGAGAGGTAATAAGATTATAGGGTAATTTACCTAAATAGGACTAAGACATAATTATGACTTTCTCAATATAGGACCATATGTTTTTATTTCCCAATGTAGGACCATTGGTCATTATCTATTAGTCATTATTCAACTAAATGTCCAGCATCACTTGGACATTATTATTCTCACTAGTCATTATTAAGTCCTATTTGAGAAATAAAAAAGTTTAAGTCCTACATTGGAAAATGACTTATGTTTTAGTCTTATTCAGTGTATTATTTTCTACAAGGGGATAGAGAAAATGGGTAAAGAATGTGGTTAAATTTTGACTTTGTAAATGGTAAACAGAAAATTTAAATTGGAACGGAAAGAACATCAAACAAAGGATTCGGAATTGAACATCAAACATATGCTAAGAATTAGTAAAGATAAAAGTAACTTTTCAAGAGAAATGAGAAAAGCTTTTTGGGACGGATGAAAAAAGAAATAAAAAATTGTCAAGAGAAAGAATAATTCAATTTCACAATTCAATTACATAGAATTTCTTACTGCAATTACAATTTTGGAATTTCTTACTGCAATTACAATTTTGGAATTCTGAACAATTTTCTCATCAACATGCGAAATCCATGAAAAATATACGAAGATCAAAGGACCTTTTTGTTGTCTTCATGTATCTAGTGGTGGTGTTGCACATGGACTACCAATTTTTCTTGAAATCTTCATATTCCTTAACACTATGTTTGGTTCAAAAATTTAGGAAAAAGAAAAAAAAAAGAGATAGAAAATGGCATAGTTTTGAAAATTGGACCGGACTGAACAACAGGCAAACTCAAGGTTGAACTGGTCAGGTCCGGTCCTTTGGACCGCATTGCACACTGAACCAGTTCGAACCAGTGTGAACCGGTAAGAACCGGCCGGTTCACCCGGTCAAACCAGTTTTCTTTTTTTTTGCAAAATTTTGCCAAAATATTATTCCTATCACTAAAGTTCAAACTCTTAACCTCTTTGTTGTTATACCAAGCTACAAACCCATTGCACAAGAATGTTTTTTGTGACATATTGGTTCCAAGTAGTATATTAGTACATATTCCGTAACTAAAAGAGTAAATATGTATTAAAAGATTTCTTTATTTCTTAAACTAGGATTCTTAACATTTAAAAAATAGAAATAATTCTAATACGGAGTATGTGTCGCGAAAAAAATCATTTTAATATTTTTGGATATTAGATGAAATATATAAATAAAAATAAAAATATCATTATTTTATAAAACTTTTAATGTACTTCTCGATGTGTAAATTTTATTTTAAATACAAATTGACTCAAAAAATAAATTAAAGTGATTATGATTTCAATAAAATATCATAAAATTTTATGTACATATGAAAGGAGTTATTTTGATTTTATACAAAATGATTTTATATAATATGTTTAAAATATATTTTTCTTTGTATTTTCTTTTCAAAATATATATGTTGTATATATTTTAAACATATTTTAAAATATATAAATAGATTTTAAACATATATAATATGTTTAAAATATATACAACATATATATTTTAAACAGTTTTATATACTCCTTCTGTCCCTCATATATCTTCTCAATAGCCCTTTTTCTTTGTCCACAATAGATCTTCTCATTTCATTTTTTAACAATTAAAATACCACAACTACCTCCACTTACTTTATTTATTACACCTCACCCACCTCATTTAATACACTCCACCCATTTTTCATTAAGGGTATTATGGTAATATTTCACCTTTTTTCAACTCTCCTTGAAAACCACCAAAAGTCAAAATGAGAACATCTTAGGGGGATGGGGGGAGTATATAATATGTTTAAACCACTGGTTCGATCATCTTAAGCATTGGTTCGACCAATGAACCAGTACCTTGACCGGTTTGATCGCCGGTCCGGTTCTTAAAGCTATAAAAAATAGATCTTTTTTATTCAGTTAGAGAAGAATACAAAAAAATGATGAAAAATGAGGATGCAAAATGTAATAAGAGGGAACATTGAATTCTTCCCATCTTGGTGAGAAAAATGGGAGAAAATTATTTTTTTTGTATTTTCTTTTCGAGTTCTTTAAACCAAACAAAAAAGAAAATGATTACTTTATTTTTTTATTAAAATTCACAAACAGTAAATCTGTGAGATTTGTGATTATTTTATTTGTGAATCAAGTATTTTTCAAAATTATTTACTAAATCGAATCCATTTTAGACAAATTGACAGAAGTACCTTAGCTTATGCATATCTCTTTTCTTTCTTTTTCTCTTTTCCCCTTCTCTAATCGAAGATGAGGCATGAGCTAATCTTTATTTGAGTGTTTTAGTAACAAAAAAAATTATCATGTTCCGGTTCTCAAGAAATTGGTTGAAATGCTAAATAGCGTATAATATAGGTAGAATTAAATTAAGAAAACGATTATATATATCTATATTCACAAACTCATATGTACTTACAAAACGTGTTTAAGACTATCTTATAATTATTTTTGAACATCCAAAAGGTGTTAAACAAAAAAACCCAAAAATAAAATTGTGAATTCAGGTGACACCACTAGAAATGGTACAAGTGGTATGTATGTAGTATATATCATGATATGTTGTGTAGTATAATTGGTTCTACGCAATAAATTTTAGTGAAAATGCCTTTGAATCCCTTGAGCCCAATTTTTTCTCTCTCTGTTGGTTTACTTCTTTTCTCCTATCTCCATTTTACTTTTGTTTTAACATTTTTTTGCACTCTTGTTTTAGGATTTTAGACTTTTAGTTAATTATACAATCTAAAAGAATTTGTTAAGGAATGTAGTAGGATTTGTCGTTAATGGGCTCATTCTTGTTGGGCTCGTAATTAGGTCATAGTCTTGTAGCTATTATAAATGGCAGATCTATGTGTAATCAAATGGTTCAAAGTTTAGATCTAATAATATTTCTACATGGTATCGGAGCCAACCTGGGAAGCTAAAAGTCCAAAACTCTAGTTTGCTATAATCTGTTGCTTCCACTGTCGTTGGTGGTTTGTCCGGCGACGACGGCGTCAGCATGCGTCAGGGCTCTGTATTTTGCTTCAGTGGAGGAGCGAGACACAATTTTCTGAATTTTCAAGAATGGAAGTGATATACTGAGCTTGTGACAGAAACAAACCTGTAGAAGTGGGAATTACCTCCACCCCCAAAAAAATGTTTGAGTGGGCCAAGATCCTTCAATGAAAATTGCTGGGCTAGTCGTTGCACAAAGGTAGCGAGAAATGCATCGGAATTACCCGTGAGAATAATGTCATTAACGTACACAAGAAAATAGGCTAACGTACTAGCTTGAGCATAAACAAATAAGGATGGATCGACACGAGATTTGTCAAACCCCAATTTGTGCAAGAACTGTGATAAAGACTCATACCAAGCACGAGGGGCTTGCTTGAGCCCGTAAAGGACCTTGGATAAGCGAATCAGGGGGTGATCCATGTAAACCTCCTCGGATAACCCGCCATTTAGAAAAGCATTATTGATGTCAAGCTGACGTAAAGGCCAACGATTAGTCAATGCAAGACTAAGAACCACACGTCACGTATAGTAACAGGCTTCATAACTGGACTGAACATGTCAAAGTAGTCACGGCCCGCTTCCTGGAGAAACCCCTTTACAACCAAACAAGCCTTAAACCTGTCAATAGAGCCATCCGCCCGGCAATTCACTCGAAAACCCCATTTACACCCAATAAAGTGATGAGTCTCACGAGGAACAAGTTCCCAAGTACCCTTTTGGATCAATGCCTGATACTCCTCATCCATAGTATGTCGCCAACGCGGATCTTTGAGAGCCTAACAATGGTTTTAGGTTCAAGAGTGGGAGGAAATGGATGGTGGGTGGTAACATGAATCCGGGCAATATCTGTGACGAACTCATTATTAAAGATACATGAATTAGGACAACGATGGTGAGTAGAACGCAGAGAAGGGTTGCAGCTTGAGATAATTGGGCGTAGCATGAAATAGGGTAGTGTATGGGCATTTGTAGTTGAGGAGAGCGGTTTATGAGATAGACAGCCGTTTGCAATGCATACGACCAATACGTGATGGGCAAAGACGCACGATGAAGTAGAGCAAGACCAGTCTCGACAACATGTCGGTGACAACGCTCTGCGGAGCCATTATGTTCAGGAGTATGTGGCGGAGAAGTGAAATGTAAAATACCATGCTGAGCCAAAAAAGGACGCAGTTTAATGTACTCTCCACCATTATCAGAGAAAATAAAAATGATTTTCTGTTGAAGAAGTTTTCCACCATTGTTTTGTAATGAGAAACAACCAGACATATTTAGTAAAGTGATCAACAAAGATAATATAATATAGATACCCATCAGAGGAGACCTCATTGCAAGACCAAACATCAGAGTATATCAATTGGAGCGGAACCTGACTGGTAAGAGAATTATTGTGAAAAGGAAGTTTGTGACTTTTGTTAATTGCACACGAAGTACAATGAAATGCATGAAGTGCACTAGTGGGCACTTTTTTATTACAATGATTTAAAATACGAGACAATATTTTATTGGAGGGATGACCATAGATATGATGCAAGGTCGAGACAGAAAGTTGATTGACGTGTGGTGGAGACACTGGAAGAGCATAGTAAACACCATTATGAGCTTTACCCTGAAGTAGAGGCACCCCCATGGTCAAATCCTTGACAGAAAAGGAGGGGGAAAATTGTCTGACATAATTAAGACACGGAAACGAGATTAGTAGGTAACTCAGGAACACATAAAACATTTCGCAAAGATAAGGATCGGGAGGAAGTAGGAAGAGAGGTATGACCAATATGTGAAATGTGTAGACCCTTACCATTGCCCAGACGGATTTCATCCGAACCCCCATAGTAAAAAAAAGGACTCCTTCCCAACTTGCTCACTCCATCTCACTCACACGCATTTCTTCCCAAACACCGCTAAATTGGGTTCTTGCTACCTGTCTTCTCCACTCTTTCCCCACTCTACTCACTCCATCTCACTCGCACGCATTTCTTCCCAAACACGGCTAACTAGGGTTCCTGCCACCTATCTCCTCCACCCTCTGTGCACTACCTGACTTTCCCATGAGTGGCCTGCCATTGCCCAAACCCATCTTGGACGTTAATGATATCCAGGACATTGTACATTTCAATTTGCGAGCTCCAAATCCAATTGAAGAGTGGGAGCGGACAATTGGAGAGTTACGTACGATTGTAACTCGAGGCGGATACGATTTTGGTGGCACGAGAACTACATGCACAAGGAAATAGAGACGATTCGGGAGACAATTCGTGTTACTCAACATCAGTTATCGGGAAGAAAACAAAACTTGTTGATTTTATAATGATAAAAAATAGAATGGGCAAAAAATAACCCAACCTATTTTTGACCCGAGGCTTGACTCGAAAATACTGAGTTTTAGACAAGTTTTGCCAACCGAACCCGAAATAACCCTCTAAAAATGGGTCAAATCCAACAGAAACTGAATCCGACCTAACCGACCCGCTAATGTAAGAATATTCCAAAATCATATATTTTAATATGAAATATAATGTTATAAAAATAAGATTCTAGTTATATTTCATACAAAATTTTAATGATATTGTATAACTATCTTACATTTTTCAAAATTTCTGGCTTTCTGCATATTTACATTGACAATGGGTTATAAATATTACTTAAGATTTCAATAAAATAAATGAAACCAGTAGCCCGTTGGGTCAACCCAAACCCGAGAATATTGGGTCATGAATATGTAGTTTTCAACCTGAACCCGTAGTAACCCGAACTCATATTCAAGATGACCGAACTAGAACCTGACCTGACCGACCGATTTGCCAACTCTAATCAAAAACATATTTAACAGTAGAATTTTTTATTCAAATTATGCTTAAACTTTATCTAGCTTAAAGACAAGAAAATTGGTGCTTAAAGTTTTATAGGATTCCCGTGAAGTTCTTATCTGATTTGAATATAGTAATATTTAAAGTTATTTCTGATTAGGTCTAATCTGATTTGATTTACATAAGAATAAGTAATAAGTAAAAAATGAGTTGAAGAGAGGACATAGTCTTCCCTACTCTACTCACTCCATCTCCACCACACATTTTATTCCCAAACACCGCTAACTAGGGTTCTGGCAAGCTATCTTCTCCACATCTTCTTCGCCACTTGCTCACTCCATCTCACTCACGCATTTCTTTTCGAACACTGCTAACTAGGGTTCTGGCTACCAGTCTTCTCCACTCCTTCCCCACTCTACTTACTCCATCTCACTCACACGCATTTCTTTCCAAACACCGCTAACTAGGGTTCTGGCCACCTGTCTCCCCCACTTTATTCCCTCCATCTCACTCGCACACATTTCTTCCCAAACACGACTAACTAGAGTTCTGGCCACCTGTCTCCTCCACCCTATGTGCACTGCCTGACTTTCCCATGAGTGGCCTGCCATTGCCCAAACCCATTTAAGACGTTATCAATATCAAGGACATTGTACATTTCAATTTGCGAGCTCCAAATCCAATTAAAGAGTGGGAGCAGACAATTGGAGAACTCCGCTCCCAATTGAAGAGTGGGAGCGGACAATTGTACAATCGTACGTAACTCTCCAATTGTCCGCTCTCACTCTTCAATTGGATTTGGAGCTCGCAAAATTGAAATGTACAATGTCCTAGATATCGTTAATGTCCAAAATGGGTTTGGCAATGGCATGCCACTAATAGGAAAGTCAGGCAGTGCACGGAGGGTGGAGGAGACGGGTGGCCAAAACCGTAGTTAGCCGTGTTTGGGAAGAAATGCGTGCGAGTGAGATGGAGGGAGTAGAGTGGGGGAGGAGTGGGGGAGACAGGTGACCAGAACCCTAGTTAGCGGTGTTTGGGAAGAAATGTGTGTGAGTCAGATGGAGTGAGTAGAGTGGGGAAGGAGTAGAGAAGACAAGTAGCTAGAACCCTAGTTAGCGGTGTTCGGGAAGAAATGCGTGTTAGTGAGATCCCTAGTTAAAGGAATGGAGAAGACATCTTGTCAAAACCCTAGTTAGTGCTGTTTGGGAAGAAAATGCATTGGAGTCTTGGAGAGATGGAGGGAGTAGAGTGGGGAAGGTTATCTCCTCTCTTCAACTTATATTATTTACTTATTATTTTTTCTTATTGAAATAAGATCAGATTAAACCTGATCAAAAATAACTTTAAATATTACTATATTCAAATTAGATCAGAACTTCACGGGAATCCTATAAAACTTTAAGCACCAATTTTCTTATCCTCAAGCTAGATAAAGCTTAAGCATCATTTGATTAAAAAAAATGAACTGTTAAATATGATTTTGATTAGAGCTGGCAAATCGATCGGTCAAATCGAGTTCAGGTTCGGTCACCTTGAATTTGAGTTTGGGTTGCTGCGGGTTCATGTTGAAAACTATTGGTTCATGATCCAATATTCTCATGTTTGGGTTGACCCAACGGGTTACGAGTTTCATTTATTTTTTGAAATTTTAAATAATACTTATTACCCATTGTCAATGTTATGAATAAAAAATTAAATATGCAGAAAGCTAGAAATTTTGAAAAATATAAAAGAATAATACGATATCATTAATATTTTGTATGAAAACATAAATTTATACACACAAAAAACAATCAGTAAGCAAAGAAATATAATTAGAATCTTATTTTTATAACATTATATTTCATATTAAAATATATGATTTTGGAATATTCTTTTACATTAGCGGGTCGGTCAGGTCAGGTTCGGGTTCCGTTGGATTTGACCCATTTTTAGCGGGTCATTTCGGGTTCAGCCGGCAAAACTTGTCTAAAACTCAATATTTTTGGGTCGGGCCTCAGGTCAAAAACAGGGCAGGTCATTTTTGCCCAGTCTTTTATCATTATAAAATTAACATGTTTTATTTTCGACCCCTCTAGCGTTAAATGTCCTTTTTGCATACTATCATGGATGTGGATAGTTCGTTGTTTTCTTCACGATAACTTATGTTGAGTAACGCAAATTCTCTCCCGAATCGTCTCTCCTTCCTTGTACATATAGTTCTCACGCCACCAATGTCGGATCCGCCTTGAGTCACAATCGTACGTAACTCTCCAATTGTCTGCTACCACTCGTCAATTGGATTTGGAGATCGCAAATTGAAATGTACAATGTCCTGGATATCGTTTACGTCCAAAATGGGTTTGGACAATGGCAGGCCACTCATGGGAAAGTCTGCACAGATGATGGAGAAGACAGGTGGTCGGAACCCTAATTAGCCGTGTTTGGGAAGAAATGAATGTCAGTGAGATAGAGGGAGTAGTGTGGGGGAGGAGTGCGTGGGGGAGACAGGTGGCTAGAACACTAGTTAGCAATGTTTGGGAAGAAATGCGTGTGAGTGAGATGGAGTGAGTAGATTGCGGAAGGAGTGGAGAAGACAGGTAGCCAGAACCCTAGTTAGCGGTGATCGGGAAGAAATGCGTGTCAGTGAGATGGAGTGAGCAAATGGGGAAGAGGTAATGGAGAAGACAGCTTGCCAGAACCCTAGTTAGCGTGGGAGAGATGGAATGAGTAAAGTGGGGAAGGTTATGTCATCTCTTCAACTCATTTTTTTTACTTACTCTGTATTACTTATTCTTATTGAAATTAGATCAGATTAGACCTAATGAGGAATAACTTTAAATATTACTATATTCAAATCAGATTAGAACTTCACGAGAATCCTATAAAACCTTAAGCACCAATTTTCTTGTCCTCAAGCTAGATAAAGCTTAAGCATCATTTGAATAAAAAAATTATAGTGTTAGATATGTTTTTGATTAGAGCTGGCAAATCTGTCGGTCAGATCGGGTTCTGGTTCGGTCATCTTGAATTTGAGTTCGGGTTACTGCGGGTTCAGGTTGAAAATTACACGTTCATGACCCAATATTCTCGGGTTTGGGTTGACCCAACGGGTTACAAGTTTCATTAATTTTTTTGAAATTTTAAGTAATATTTATAACCCATTGTCAATGTTATGAATAAAAAATTAAATATGCAGAAAGCCAAAAATTTTGAAAAATATAAGATAATTATACGATATCATTAATATTTTGTATGAAAACATAAATTTATACACAAAAAATGAGTAGTATGCAAAGAAATATATTTAGAATCTTATTCTTATAACATTATATTTCATATTAAAATATATGATTTTGGAATATTCTTACATTAGCGAGTCGGTCAGGTCGGGTTTGGGTTATGTTGTATTTGACCCATTTTTAGCGGGTCATTTTGGGTTTAGTCGGCAAAACTTGCCTAAAACTCAGTATTTTCAGGTCGGGCCTCGAGTCAAAAACAGGTCGAGTCATTTTTTGCCCGGTCTATTTTTTATCTGTATGAAATCAACAAGTTTTGCTTTTGACCCCTCTAGCATTAAATGTCCTTTTTGCATACTATTATGGATGTAGATAGTTCGTTGTTTTCTTCACGATAACTGAGGTTGAGTAACGCGAATTGTCTCTCGAATTGTCTCTCCTGAATCAATCCTAGACGAAGACACAGAACAACAGACCCGGCATCATGTACCAGACGGTACCTGTCACGGTACAGGGTACCGTCCTCACAGTACCTGGGTACCGGTCCTACGGTATTAGGGGTAATGTTCGAATCAAATGAGCCCTTCCGATAGGATTGCCACGGCCGACTACCGACCAGGCGGTACGACCCACCGTACGGATGTAGCTACTGGCAGAGGCGAAAGCAACCAACACAGTGTGACGGTAGCACGATATCGTCCCAGCGGTACCGCCTACCGTCCAGCGCAACAATTTTCTATATTTACACCTATTTCATTTTTTAGCATCAAACCAATAGCAATCTCATAACAACAAATGCCATTGGGTTCATATTAACATTCTAAATATTATCAAGCACATTAATTCATCAATCAACGCCTAAATCATGCATACTACCCTTTTGATTTAACGACAACAATTCCCAAAACCACAATCAACAATTATACAGACAGATCAACCACGATAACAATTATGAACAGAATTTCAAACCTATATGCATATTCTAGTGTTAGACTACCACGTACTCACCTCGATTCCTTCGTCGTATTCCAACGAATGTGACGAATGATCATCTCTGGAGCACGATTCCGCTGTCCACGACTGTCGTCGATGCCCGATCTCGTCGACAACCTCCTTGGAACACCCAACGCCCTCCGGGCATAACCGCCACTTCCTAGACCAGCCCGCTGCTGCCCAAGCCTGCCCGAACTCATCCGATCGAAGCCCAGATGTCGCAGGTCGCTGGAGGCCAATTGCCGGAGTACCGCCACTGGTTCCAATCTACTGTCAGAGTCATCGGAGTTGCTGCTCCGGTCAGCTCAGAGCTTTACCGGCCCTAGTCGTTGTTCATACCGCTGTCTACACTCGTTGCCGGTGGGGAGTCGCCGGAACAGATGTGGAGCTACACCAGGTCTGCCGCTGCTGACGCGGGGTCACCGTCGCAGGCACAACTCGTCGGAATGTGGAGGTCACCGTCGGATTGAGCCCACGTCGTCGCAGTGGCCGATCGCCCGAACCTGCGGAGGTCGCCGTCGCTGCTGCTACCCACGCCGGAATCAGGGAGGAGCCAAGTCAGGTCTGCTCGCCGCCTCCCTAGAGCCTACTGTTGTGGCGTCGCCGGTCGCCGATATCTCCATGCGCGCCGCTGCTGTTCAATTGGCGAAGAAGAAGGGAGAGGCGGCTGTAACGCAGGTCTCGATCGAAGAAGGAAGAATAGTGCTGGGCGGCGAGAATTTTATTTATTGAAATTTGCACTAAATAGGACTAAAACATAATGACTTTCTTAATCTAAGACTTAAACTTTTTTATTCCTTAAATAGGACTTATTAATGTCTTCGTAGAAGGAATAATGTCCAGCAATGATAGACATTACTTGAATAATGACTAAAGAATAATGACCAAAGGTCCTACATTCGAAAATAAAAACATATGGTCCTATTTTGGGAAAGTCATTATGTTTTAGTACTATTTAGGTAAATTACTCTTTTATTTATATACCTAGGGGTTGGGTTTTCTGCTCGGTAATTTAAAATAACTTGTCGGATTAAAAACACTCTTTTCGGGCTAACTTGTTCTGAATTGAAATCCGTTTGCATTGTTGGGTTCGATTCGTCGATCCCTACCCAACAATATAACTTTTGTAACTAATCAACAAGCATTTACCAATTCCACTTGGTCCATCTTAATTCTTTCGATTAATTAGCATTGATCAGTCTTTTACTTTTAATCTTTACAAATATAATCAAATTAGTTTCGTTATATTGAGACGATTAGAATTTCTAAAGTATCTTTTAATTCTTTAAAAAAATAGATTTTCGTAAATAAATAATTCTTATTTATTTAATTATCGATTAACTTCTAGACCGGTTTTCAAGATGTTACAAAAGTAAACCCTGGGAAGGACTGCGATTGATGTAGCCTAGAGTGTAAATGGCAGCATCCCAATGTGGTTGTCTTGGATCAGTCATGAACTGACTTAGGAATTGCACGGTGTAAGCCAAATCAGGTCGTGTGTGAGTGAGGAAATTTAGTTTCCCCACTAGTCATTTGTAAAGAGTAGGATCAGAAACATGAAGCCCATCGTGAGGTGTGAGTTTGAGATTGGTTTTTAAAGGGCATACAGCTGAAGAAGAATCCAGACAATCAAGCTCATTCAAAAGATCAAGAGCAAATTTTCTTTGAGTGAGAATGACACCTTGAGGTTCGTAGATGACTTCCAGACCCAGAAAATAATTCAAAGATCTTAATCTTCAGTTGAATAATCTCCTCTGCATGACGTAAACAGCAAGGTGGATGACGGAGATGCCCATGCGTTTAGTAAACAAAGAGTAGTCATTCATGGAGTGTATATAACCTCTTGTTCTTAACGCATCAGACAGTTTAGCATACCATTGACGTGAAGCTTGTTTCAAACCATAAAGAGATTTTTGAAGGTGAAGAACCTGTGAAGGAGGAAGATGCATCCCGGGTGGAGGTTTCATATAGATCTCTTTGTCAATCTCTCCATGAAGAAATGCATTATTGACGTCCAATTGATACATGGGCCAATTCTTTTTCACATCGGTGGCAATGAGAGCTCTAATGGTTGTCATTTTTACGACAGGAGAGAAAATCTCATTATAGTCTATGCCTTGATTTTGAAAATAACCACGAACAACAAGTCTGGCTTTTCGTCTTTCTAGAGTGCAATCATATTTGAATTTCAACTTATAAACCCATTTGCAGCTACGATGCTTGCGACCTTTTGGAAAATCAGAAACTACCCAGGTGCCAGTGGTGATAAAGCTTCTAATTCTTTGTTCATAGCTTCTTGCCATGCAGGGTCCTCCTTAGCCTCCTGATAATTGTTAGGTTCGTGCAAGTGTGAAACCATATGCAAAAAATGCTGACTATGCTTGGTTAGAGCATTGAGACTTGTTGTTTGTTGGGTAAAGTGACGGTATGGGGAGAAGATAAATCAGAAATAACAGTGAACATGTTTAGATGAGCACACATATGATCAGTTGCTCTAGAATCCAAAATCCAAAGATAATCAGAATGATTAAACACATGGTTGCACAAATGTATGGAAGAATAATTAAAAGGAGTAAAAGAATTACCTGAACAAGCCGAATGAGGTATGGAGTTCTGATGAACAGCATGAAAAGCAGATGAAATAAGCTGATTATTGTCTTGATTGATCCCATTGATCTGAACATTTGCAAGAAACTTCAAAAATTGATTGCAGAGATTAGAATTGACATGCATCTCTGTTTCGGGAATGGTTTTGTGTGATTCTTCAACATTGGCCGAGTGTGCTGACACATTCTTCCCTTTTGTAAATTTGAAATCCTTTGGGAAGCCAATTAGCTTGAAACATCTATTAGCTAGATGTCCAGGTTTCTTGCAATAATGTTCACAGAATAGGGATCTCTTAGTGTCAGTTTTCATGATCCCTTTGTAATTTCCATATGTAGGTTTGGCAACATTTAGAGAAGCATGATCAGGTAGAATTTGGTTAGGAACTTGAACTTCTCTCTATTTTTCTTCATGTATCAACAGATTGTAAGCTTGAGCAACTGTAGGTAAAGGTTTCATCATCAACAAATTTCCACGCGTTGTAGTGTATGCAGAGTTCAGCCCCATCAAGAGTTGAATCAGTTTATGATCCTGATCATGTTTAAGTAAGGCTTGGATAGCTCCACATGTGCAATTAGGGAATTTTGTGATATCATTGAGCTCATCCCAACTTTTCTTCAACTTGGTGTAATAAGCTGCAATATCAAGATTTCCTTGACTGGTAGAACTGATTTCCTTCTGAAGTTGATACAGCATAGCACCGTTAGACTGGCCAAACCATTCATCCAATTCTTTTCATATCTCGATCACAAAACTGGCATAAAGAACACTATCAGCCATATCTTTGCTGAGTACATTCTGAATCCATGAAGTTACCATGTCATTACACCTCTGCCAATGACCTAGCCGAATAAGATCACCGTTAGGTTTAGCAATTTTTCCGCTCACAAAATCGAACTTGTTTTTGGCAGATAAAGCTATCGACATGGATTTCTTCCAGGATCCAAAGCCTTCACCATTGAATTGCTTAGAGACGAGCAACAATCCTGGATGATCGGATGGATGGAAATAGAGAGGATCCGAAGAAGCGAAATTTCCAGAATTCGGATTTGAGGTCATCGCGAAAATTAATCCGAAGTACGTCTCTGAAATGGATCGGAAACATATATCAAGATCGGAAACAACAAAAAATTGATCGGAAGAAATTGCAGGGATGAAAATCGGAAGAATTTCAGTAGTATTGAACCTGAAGCTCTGATACCATGTTAAATTTTGAATATCAATATTCTTGCACAGCAAGAAGGAAAGACGAAGAGCTGATGTGGGAAGAAAAAGATATTTTCATTATTGTATTTCTCATCATTGCCAAAATACAAAGTCAACGATATATATAAAACAGTAAGGGAGCCAAAACAGAAAAGTAACAAACTAAACAAGAATAGCTAAAAATGAAGAAGGACGGTTGGACTGAGAGCTTATTGTGATGGACCATTTTTAATTCCAACATCTATATTATTTGCCCCAAGTACAAGTACACCCATTGTAAGATCTAGGGGTGGACACGGTACGGTTCCGGGACGGTTCCGGTTCTGGTACCGCCACCCATTGGTACCGGTACCGTGACCGGACCGGCCGGTACCGGTTTCGGTACCCGGATCGGCGGTTCCGGTACCGGACCGGCCACCCCCACTTCTGCGACTTCTTTTTCTGCTTGTGTTTCTTCCGTAAATGTCTTCCTCTTCGAAGCCAGGTGTGTTCTTTCAATTATTTATCTTTATTCAAAATTTTCTCTCTTCTTCTTCATTCTCTTTCTCCTTCTCTTTTGTAGATTTTTCTCTTTGAATCTATTCTTCCTTTTTAACCAATAACACCTTTTATAACAGATCTAGGATTTTGTCTTTCATCGTTTTTTTAGCTTTTCAGATGTAGGGTTTTTGTACCTTTCAGATCTGCCTTTTTTGCTTTTCGGATCTATGATTTTCGCGGTAAGGTAAAAGGTACCAGAACCGGACCGGAACCGATACCGAAAAATGGGTACCGGAACCGGTACCGTGGAGGGCGGTGCCGGTACTGGTTCCCGGAACCGGTGGAACGTCCCGGCCGGCGGTACCGTTGCCGGTCACGGTACCTTACCGGTACGTGTGCACCCCTTGTAAGACCCGTGTATTATCACTCTTAAATGAACGGTATCATTTGCATCTTGTTGTCAAAGTCAATATGTGGAGCATATAATAATCAAAGTATCTTGTTCTTCAAGAATAAGCCAAACTTCATTTTTTTAAATGTATATATACGGACTACTTCGTAATATAGAAGCTAATTAAGGCCATTATTTGTATATTGTTCTTCTAGAAATCTTCCAAACACGCTGGAGAATTCGGCCCCCGTTCACACTTTTCCCACAATACAAAAAACGCCTGAAACCTACCCACACCATATGCTCACCTTCCCGCGCCTCCGTTTCCGCCGCCTTCGCATGACCGGAGTCTGAGAGCAGCCGCCGGCGAAGCCACTGAGCATGCCTACTTTCACGACCATCGCGCTCGAGAACCTTCTCGAGCCGCGCGTTCGCGATTCGTGCAAATCTCCATTGGATTTCGAGAAATCCGCCGCGAGGCATCTCAAAGTCTCTAGGTCTAGTGATGGAAGCCGCATCGATTGTAACGGTGGCGTGCGAAATGGTGCTCGGAGGGAGGGGGTCGATGATTTGAAGCCTCCGTCTGCCAATCATATATACATATCTCCGGCTCTGTATATAACTCCGGAACCAGCTCCCATCCCGGAGGTTTCCGCCGGAACACTCTCTCCGTCTCCTTATGTTGTTAATCACAAGCGGCGCGGAAGGGAACATGTTGCGAATCTGAAAATCGATGGATTTTCCGTTCCGGAAGGGAAGGAATGTGGGGAGACCGAGACTGATGCTGCCGGATTGAATTCTCAGGGGAAGTATGACCCGCAGGAGGAGGTTTTGGTCAGGGATAAAATTGAGGGGGATACGGAGGTCAAAGGAGATGGAATCAAGGGATTGGAGGGCGGAGGTGAAGAGTTTCTGGATCCCGCCTGCGATGTCTCTAGTGTCGGAAGTGCTAGTGAGTTTAGAGGACTTGATTGCCACAGCATCTTGTCTGCTCAAGGGGATTTCTTTGATGCTAATGAAGGTAAACTTTTTCATCCTACTTTGACATGTAATTCCATGTTTGTTTGTTATACTGAAATTATTGGACTGTTTATTGGTGCTATGATAATATGTAAGGAAAGCTGTATGTATAAAATAACAATTTTTGTTTGTGTTTGAATCAAATTGTTTGATCATTGACATTGATGAGCTCTTTTGTGAACTCCCGTGTGGCGTGTGATGCAAAATTGATACCACAAGACTATAATTTTGTTTTGCCATTGCCTAAGTCTGTATTGTCTGGTAAATATTATTAAAAAAGTTTTCCCTTGCATAATAAGTTTATGGGTTTTTTGGCAAAGAGATTATTGGACGCTATCCAGTTCAAAATAAATTAGCTATGGTGACCTTTGATTGCTATTGGTAACTGTCAAATGACACACCTGACACCAACTCTGAAGATAAATCTTCTTCCCTACATTTTTAACAATTAACTTTTTGTGATTACTGTTATCATTGTTAATTGTTATCTACAGAGTTCTCATCTGAGGGGTCTGCTTCAAATGCATCACTTTACGGTGCTACTATATTATCAGAACTACATACCTTAAGGCTTAAGCTCATTGAAGAAACAGAAAAGAGAAAGGCTGCAGAAGATGCTCTTGCGTTGATGCAGAACCATTGGCTTAGAATCCGCAACATTCTATATCAGGAAGGCTTAACACTTCCTTCACCTTCTGATGTCATTTTTGGACTTGAATTTGGGAATTGCTCAATCAATCAGGCTGTTCAAGAATTAGCTGTTGCTCGGTATGTTGCTGAGGCAATAGGTAAAGGTGAAGCTCGTGCTGAATCCGAAGAGGCTTTAGCAGCAATGCTTGAAACCAAAAACCAGGAGATCTCCCGGCTGAGGGACAGGTTACAATACTACGAAGCAGTTAATCACGAGATGTCTCAAAGGAATCAAGAAATTGTTGGTGAGCTTTCTATTCTCTTGTTTTATTGCTCTATCTGTGTATGAGGACAGTGTCATTCAATTTTTATTGTTGACTTTAAGATGATATATAGTAATGGCAACAAATGTGGTCTATTTGCTTAGCATTTATCATCCACAACCTATTTAGAACAGCATGCCCATTGTAATCCTAGATAACCCGGAAATACCCTATCTAAGTCCATTATTGTTCTCAACTTATTGCATTTGACAAATGCCTGTTTAAATCCCTCCCATTTCCAAGATCCGAATAAGTAGAAACAGTCAACAGTTAATGCTCCATATATTCTTAAATGTTCTTGTTTACCTGTGCAATATGAATTAAGAAAGACAAAGTTGAGATCTATGTATAAATGATCAATATCAACCACACAATTTCTTTCCTTGGATATTAGAATTAGGAAGAACTATCTAGGAGGGGACCAAAAATCAATTGGAAAAAGGTTAGGAACAGGAGTGATCAGTTCCGACTTATTGGGAGTAAAAATTGAAAACGTCTGCACTAAGTATAAATAGGGTACAGTAGTTTACTTGTATATTAAATTTTAAGACCCAGTAGTTTTGTATATTAATATATAGTGGTTATTAACTTAATTTGTATGATTCCTACCTTCAAGAAGTGGGTACCCTACAATGCTAGACCCTAACCCTGTCAAGAACTGCAAAAAAAGTCTCATACCTGTCCCAAATATCATTTGAGTTTTTTTTTACAATGGCACCAGACTATATTAATCTCGACTTGTTGTCATTCCTAATCCTATCCATCCACAAAACAAGCATGATTCTTTCCTATATATTGCACTTGTGATTTACTAACGACATTTAAACCATGTATAGATGCAGGGCGAAAACGAAGACAGAGGAAGAGGACTCAACAGAAGTGGGTATGGAGTGGCATCGGTTTTTCAGCCATCATTGCTGCTTCTGTGGCAGCCTACATGTATCTGCCACAAGCAAGTATTGACCAATCAACATCATCAAGTGCGACCGATTCATCCCCGCCGCCTACATGCTCCTCCTCCTCATAACCCGAATCATTGGTATGCTCACTTTGCTTTTTAGTCCTCTCGAAAGGCTTGTCGTGGCCAGTGTAGGTTATACATCTATGACATTTAAACAATATATGTCAGTTTTGGTCTGTTAGTTGTCAACCATATCTAGCCATTGGGTAGTTTGGCTACTTTTACTTCTATAGATTGAATTCGCCGATAATACACAGGGGGCAGTGTCGTCATTTCTCCCTTGATCACCTGATTGTTGTTGTTCATGGTCAAGTGATTTTGATTCATACACAGCTGTAGAAGATTCATATAATGTGGGCCAAAATTCAACCACAACTTGGGGCTCTTTTATGCTATTGATTTTACCATTGAGGGCTTAATTTTATGTTTGACTAATGTGTGAATTCAAACTCTTTCAGCCTGTTTTACAAGGCACCTTTTATAGGATCACTTTAGCTTTGGAAGTTTTTGTGGCTCGCCATTTTTCTATATCTTCTCTACGGGCCTGTTTGGGAATTGTGTTAGAGGTGAGCGTTAGCATTTTGGATAAAATTTTAACGGTGCAGATTACTTTGAAAACGCTAACGCTAAACGCTGCCCGTAAATAATCTTTTCAAAACGCTAATGTTATTTCCAAACCGGCCCTGCATAACTTTCAATTACACAATTTTATTTTTCTTAAACTTTGTGTCAAATTAAATTAGTAGGCTTTTTTTTTGGAACGGAAGGAGTATTAAGGAGTAATTTCTTATTGATTTGGAAGATGTGTCAATTGTGTATAAGTGATCACAATTCAAGTTCAGAAGGAAATTTATTCCTTGGGAATCCGGCACAGGAGTTCACCCTCTAAACAAAGTAATGGCAATTTAGACTGTTATCTTCAATTTATTCAGATTGTTGGAGTATTAACTATCCTTATTACAATCAAATCTATATTAAATTTAACTAGTATCAGATCAAATATAACTTTAACAAAATCATATTAGAACTAATTAAATCGCACGAAGAGAACTTTTTAACGAATAAAATTTTGATATAAGTATCAAAAGAATATAATAAAACCCCAAAGTTTCATTTCTCCCGGTGTTATATTCCCAAGTTTATACACCCCTCCCAGTATTTCTAAAAACAAGTCATAACAACATA